CCTTCTGACGACTATAAAGATCACAGCTGACCAGGTGAACTGAGTGGGGGGTCATTTCTGTCAGTGCCGCACCATAACTGGAAAAAAAAGTCTAATTACGCATCGATAATAATAACTTGTCACGCACATGTTATTACAGTTAGACATAAAAGTGACGTGTTTAGATGAATAAAAGGTGACGAAATAACAGAAACTAGTGGAACCATCAACACTGGACACGGGGTGAGGGGAGACGAACGTGGCGCTGTGCGACTGCTGCAAACAGTGACCCGGATGTGACCTTCCATGCCAGGCTTTCTGCCGTGTTCCCTGCTAAATGTTTATTTTTAATTTGATGAAAATTTTGGTTTAGAGGAATAGTACATTTGTGGGTACACGTAGAATGTTGGCGGGTGGATGGATGGATGGATGGATGGATGGATAGATTTGGAGGATGGATTGGAGGATGGATGGATGGATGGATGGATGGATGGATGGATGGATGGATGGATGGATGGATGGATGGATGGATGGATGGATGGATGGATGGATGGATGGATGGATGGATGGATGGATGGATGGAGATGATAACGGGACAGATAGATAGACAGACAGAAAGTGACAGCCCCAGGAATCACAAATAGGATAACAAGCAGTTTAATTCGGTTAATTCCCGAAGATAATATCCATCCACTGTACTGTTGGCTTGGCAGAGACTGCAATCTATTTTAATGTTTCCGTAGGGAATAGTGATTCTAATTATGTGTGCTTTTTCCTAGCATATGCATGGAACACTGACGCAGTTACCTGTTTGCTGTGAAGGTGGAACTGTGACTGACTAACTAGTGAACTAACTAATTAACCAACCTAGCAGCCAACAAAATAACCAATTACCCCAATATAACACAGAAAGTTTCTTCCTATGATCTGATAAAATAATTTTTTTTAAAAATCCTATACATCAAAATCTACAGGTGATTGCAGTTACTGCTTAAGGTAAGACATGCACAAAGTACCACCCAGATAACATTCAAAATAATTCACTTCACTGACCCTATTTTCTCCCTGTGAGCTATTCACGGTTAAATTTGCATGCGCTTAGTTCTTTATGTTTGAGCTTTTGATTTAATTTAAATTTGCCGTCGATTTTGTAGTTTGTAATTGTTTTCATGTGAGGTTATCACTGACCTTCCTAATTCAGAGTGTCATCTCCGCACTGGAGATTGGCTGCAGTGGATATTGGATCAACTGCTGATATTTGTGATTATTTGTTTATACGAGTGCAGCTGAAATATCTTGAATAATCAATTGTATATTTATCTGGTTATATTTACAGCTAAGTTTATTCCCCCTGTCCATTTTTCTTCTCTTTTATCAAATATAGAAGCAGAAGTAGTAATTTGAACAACCATATCCTGTTTTTGTTTATTTAATATTGTATAGATTATGTAACAGATTGTAGGAGTGTAGATTGCAAAGAGGAATATATTTTATTTGGGTGCATCTCACGTTTTCGGGCTAAGAAAGAGAGTATCTTCTCTACCCATTCATAAATTGCCGTGTCGCCGGGCTTGTGTTATGTTGCGGGGGTGTCAAACTTAGCGACTGGCCAACAACACGCAGCATTTTACTAGTTGTTGTCACCGGTCGGCGATTTCGCGTGTTTTTTATTATATGATGTGAGCCCTTTTAACGGTTCCGAAACATGCAGAACTGGCCCTAACCCCAACCCTCTTCCACCCACCTATGCAAGAGAGTGCAGCCTATGTTCTCACAAGAGAGTGCAGCCTATGTCCCACAAGAGAGTGCAGCCTATGTTCTCACAACAGAGTGCAGCCTATGTCACACAACAGAGTGCAGCCTATGTTCTCACAACAGAGTGCAGCCTGTTATCCCACAAGAGAATGCAGCCTATGTTCTCACAACAGAGTGCAGCCTGTTATCCCACAAGAGAATGCAGCCTATGTTCTCACAACAGAGTGCAGCCTGTTATCCCATAAGAGAGTGCAGCCTATGTTCCACGAGAGAGTGCAGTCTATGTCCCACGAGAGAGTGCAGCCTATATCCAACGAGAGAGTGCAGACTACGTTCAGTTCTGCATGTTTCGGGACCGTTAAAGCGCTGACTTCCTCGAATGTACAAGACGCGATATCAACGATGTTGTATATTCCAGCCCTTTGAAGGCTTCAAAAATATGCAGGACAGGTCCTAACATAAACCCCCCTATGAAAGTGCTGTTACCTACTTCACACGCATTCTCATTCTCCGAATGAAAACTTAAACAGAAGACAACAGCAGGTTTTTCGAGCAAACAATATACCGGGACACTCCAGTGACTTTCAGCAAAGTTGACGAACCTGAGCAAGTACCAATCAAAAGTGACCTAATGTGCAAATAGGCGGAGCTAAACCAGATGAGGAGATCTCCGTAAGTTTCACCTTTGAATGTATCATTTGGAATATTACAAATAATCTGTCGTCCCGATGGCAGACGGGACGCAATTTTACGTTATTTTAAAGCACCATCCCTGCTGTAGTCGGGGACCTAATATAACCTAACGGTGCCGCATAGTGGCACTTTTTGTCGCCGAGTGTTTATCGCATGATGGTTGTCCTGGTGGGGTTCAAACTCATTCTGAATATTTTTAGTGATCTGGGTTTGCCATCAAATGCACAACAGGCAACAAAGTTACGTTAAGTAGATGTTAAACTTCGAGAGAAGAGAGCTCTTCGTGTCAGGGAGGAACAAAACTGAGAACTCAATGTCGCAGACAGAACAATTGAACAACCACCACAGGCCGACATCATCTTAGCTGCTGCAAACACAACAAGCTGACAAGGGAGACATTCCTGGTGAGTCGCTTGCTTGTTTAACACTGTACACCACCAGGGTTTTGTCTTGTGTGAAAACAAATAATTCGAATTGTAAAGCTGATCTGTTCGCAACTTTTTGTTGTTTTATTTAATAGTATAGTAATGTAGTAATAGTAGTAATGAATGTCTGAGGGAAATCACAAGTAACTAAATATACTACTATAACTTGACGGTAAACATAACGAACTGGCGAATTAAGACAAATTTACTTGGATACATCTTTAAAACTAACCAGTGGTGGTACATTTTGGTGTCTGCTCTCATTGGCAAGATAGCTGATAACCATAAGGCTGGAAACTTCAATGAAAGCTTATTAATTATATTTGTAATACTCCGGAAAATGCTGGAAACACGGCTAATTGCTAATTGTTCTGTTACCAGTTCTCATCTTGTATAATTTCGTGTCAAGAGCCGTCTACCTCATCAACCCCTACCTCTTCCTCAAACCTTCCATTACTTTTTTTTTTTTTTTGGGGGGGGGGGGGGGGGAGAGTAAAGGACAGTATTTTGTATGTCTTTGCTGCAGGGGACACATGATACAGACCTATATTTTTTCAATAAGATTTTTGGCATTTGATGATGAATGTGTCAGTATCATGCTGACTGCCTTTACTTACCAGAAATTCTTGGTACCCATGTGAGGTCAGATCAACCTAGAAGCCAAGGTCAATCCACATGTAAACAGTTGGTCTTGACACAGATTTTTAACCTCTCAAGAAAAGATATCAGGCCAGACACAAAATGGAACCAGTCAGCTGGATATTTTCACAAACAGAAATGACCAGACAATGTTGCGGTCAGAGGGTCTTCTTCAGCAACTTCTGACATGAAAACACAGTACCACAAGTACAAACTAGAACACACACAATCACTTAGCTCAAGTATCTGACAAGGAAAATCACTGCTGTGTCTAGTGATCAGTTACATCTCTGACACGTGTGTGACCACCCACAATAAACACTAGCCAGAAAAAGCTGTAAACGACTTTGGTGATAACTAAAGAATATTAGACAAAACTATGTTAGATGTTTAGTTGTTTAGGGGAATTGGAACCCATTAGACATGTTGGATGTTTAGACCTACAAGGGAATTGGAGCCCATTAGACAAAAATATGTTGGATGTTTAGACCTATAAGGGAATTGGAACCCATTAGATAGACAAGGCAGTTCTCATGAGACTCACTGGTTCTCTTGTTGGAGTGGCTAGACTTGATGGCTTTAACCGCCATGTCAAGGACACTTTAGTGACCCTGAGAATTGGGACCAGATTTTAAACCCAGACCATGGGGCTGGCAGGTGAGCTTCCAGTTGCTATAGTAGTTCTGGGCAGTATACCAAGTCCAAACTTTTTCCCCTGCTGAACATTGGTAGACATTCTTAAATGCTCAAAGATTTAAAGAGTTACAGTTCATTTTTACTTTGCTTCTTCTTTAATTCTGCCGTAATTAGTCTGAAATGGATTCACATTGACAATTATGAACCTCTTGTAACTACAGTGGAAAGGTGGCGAATGCAATGGTATGGACATGTAATAAGATGTAACAATCTCTCAAAAACAAGCCTGCAGGGCTCAGTAGATAGGACGAGAAGGAGAGGCACACAAAGAAAGATCTGGATACTGAACCTGACTGACGACAGGCGAGCACCCATGAAATCCATCGTTAACTGACCATCAAAGGTGGAGGGAGCTGGCCAGACAGTCAGCAGCAACTGGTGACATAACGACACGCAGTGTTATAGGATGATAAAATGGATTGTCTGTTTCTGAAATGTTGTCTTTAATATGATTTTCACTAGATAAAAAATTTATAACTTTCCATTTTGTTTGTTTGTTTTTGTGTGTGTTTATTTCAGAGTTCAGCAATTAAAAAAAATATTTTTATGAGTTTTCGAGTCATCATGCCAGCCATACTTCTGGAGCGTCTGCCATTGCCGAGTCTCCGAACCTACATCAGCTTGTCCATCCTCAGTCTTGGACTGGCTTTATATCATGCCCATCGGACCGTCACACGGATAAGCTCAAAACTGAACTTTGATGTTGAATACACCAGCATCGATGATGGCAGTGTTGAGTACAGTGGCGGCCATTTCCCCCCAGAGTTAACGAATGTGACCTTGCCCTACCCTAGTGATGAACATTTGTTGAACATGCTCTATGTGATGAGGCTAGGGACATGGTCCGTGTGGGTAAGTGCTAGTGACATTACAGATCTGGGAATGTTAACTCTCACTGTGAGGCAACTCGAATTGTGTTAACTGGTTGTTCTTTACATAATATACTCTCTTGTGTGGGTCCTGTGATTTTAAGGGGGCAAAATAGAACTCCCCCCCCTCCCCCCAACCTTCAATCCCCCTCCTTTCAGTAACCCTGCTAAGAAAAGTGACTAATGAGGGATGTTCAGAAATGAACCAAACAGGCATAGATGTAACGTGTGGCTATAAACAACAACATATGTGTCAACCACCCTTTGAACCCTTTCACTGCCACACAGTGCATCATATGTTTCTTGGTCATGCTGAAAATAACATATATTTTCTGCTACCTTCTATCACAGACATGTGTTATGTTAACCCTTTGTATCTCAATTATTAGTTCTTATAGTTTTATCCCATCGGCTTTGAGTGGGTACCAGGTGCAGTCCTGGGAAGCAAAGGTGGCCGGCCTGATGCTGACCACATCACACACCAAGTGCAGATTGGTCTAAAAAAATCTAGGTCGAGCCCTCTATGCCCAATATGCCTAAAGGCAAGTAAAAAGGTCCTTTACTTTTACTTCCCATAGTGGCTTTGTTAAACTGTTGCTTTTAAGCTCATCTGCTTTATGATAACAAAAGTTAAAAACTATGCTTGAGTCTGGATAAGCTGACGAAGCACTGGCAGTATTCTTGTTTTTACATTTGTGTCTGGTAGACTAAGGAGAGGCTTGATCGACCCATGATCGACCCATGCCAGTCAAAGGAAAGGCTTGATCGACCCATGCCAGTCAAAGGCCCTTGATGAAGATACACACATTTGTGTCTGGTAGACTAAGGAGAGGCTTGATTGACCCATGCCAGTCAAAGGAGAGGCTTGATTGACCCATGCCAGTCAAAGGAGAGGCTTGATCGACCCATGCCAGTCAAAGGAGAGGCTTGATCGACCCATGCCAGTCAAAGGAGAGGCTTGATCGACCCATGCCAGTCAAAGGAGAGGCTTGATCGACCCATGCCAGTCAAAGGAGAGGCTTGATTGACCCATGCCAGACAAAGGAGAGGCTTGATTGACCCATGCCAGACAAAGGAGAGGCTTGATTGACCCATGCCAGACAAAGGAGAGGCTTGATTGACCCATGCCAGACAAAGGAGAGGCTTGATTGACCCATGCCAGTCAAAGGAGAGGCTTGATCGACCCATGCCAGACAAAGGAGATGCTTGATTGACCCATGCCAGTCAAAGGAGAGGCTTGATCGACCCATGCCAGACAAAGGAGAGGCTTGATTGACCCATGCCAGTCAAAGGCACTTGATGAAGATACACACATTTGTGTCTGGCAGACTTAGGAGAGGCTTGATCGACCCATGCCAGACTAAGGAGAGGCTTGATCGACCCATGCCAGTCAAAGGAGAGGCTTGATCGACCCATGCCAGTCAAAGGCACTTGATGAAGATACACACATTTTTGTCTGACAGACAAAGGAGATGCTTGATCGACCCATGCCAGTCAAAGGAGATGCTTGATCGACCCATGCCAGACAAAGGAGAGGCTTGATCGACCCATGCCAGACAAAGGAGAGGCTTGATTGACCCATGCCAGTCAAAGGCACTTGATGAAGATACACACATTTGTGTCTGGCAGACTTAGGAGAGGCTTGATCGACCCATGCCAGACTAAGGAGAGGCTTGATCGACCCATGCCAGTCAAAGGCACTTGATGAAGATACACACATTTCTGTCTTGATTAATGCTGCGGAGGCCGTGTTTTGAGTAAATGTTGAATTAGAATCGACATAGCACTCGGGGCACTCCCACGTGCGTTCCCTCCCCATTTTTAGCAGCAAACAAATAGTTCCAATTCCGCTGGTACCAGTAACTGTCTGATTGTACATCCGCCTCACCTGTCCCTTAAGTGTGGAGCCTCTGCCAGATCCCTTGGTAACTCTTCACAGTGCCATGCTCCTCAGATTGTAATGATCTATTTGTGCCTCCGCACTGTTCACTGGCTGCCAAAGGGCCCTCACATCTAGCTTGTCATACATCAATTCACCACAAAGTGGTGCACAACTGGCAAGTCTGTCTGCTTGTTTCCCACCCCAGCTTGACCAGCTTGTCATACATCAATTCACCACAAAGTGGTGCACAACTGGCAAGTCTGTCTGCTTGTTTCCCACCCCAGCTTGACCAGCTTGTCATACATCAATTCACCACAAAGTGGTGCAGAACTGGCAAGTCTGTCTGTTTGATCGAAATGCACAGATACTGCAGCCTAGCTGTCAGCCACAACACAATGTGCCAACCACCCTTTCAAGAATGAATGAAGAAGAAAAAGAAGAGTATACTGTGCTGAGACCTTCATTGTAGAACTGTCTCTAAGGAAACTGGATCATTTATGGATCTATCCCTGTAACATCTAGAAACTGGATAAATTATGTCTGTATCCCTGTAACATCTAGAAACTGGATCATTTATGGCTCTATCCCTGTAACATCTAGAAACTGGATCATTTATGGGTATATCCCTGTAACATCTAGAAACTGGATCATTTATGGGTGTGTCCCTGATGTAGACTGAAGCAGATAGGAATGTGTTAATATGCTCTCCTCTACTCCTCAGACACTGGTCAACAGCTGCTACTGTTTGTTAATCCTGGTCGGAAAACTCATACAGAGCATTGTGTTTGGGGAACTACGCGTCATCGAACAGCAGGTGAGTTGTGTTTGGTGAACTGTGAGTCATCGAAGAGCAGATTAGTTGTTTGTTGTGTTTGGGAAATTATGTGTAATAGAACAGCAGGTTAGTTGTGTTTGATGAACTACAAGTAATAGAACAGCAGGTGAGTTGTGTTTGGTGAACTGTGAGTCATCGAAGAGCAGATTAGTTGTTTGTTGTGTTTGGGAAATTATGTGTAATAGAACAGCAGGTGAGTTGTGTGTTTTGTTTTCTGGAACTATGAGTCATAGAACAGCATGTTAGTTGTGTTTGGGAGACTATGAATCATCAAACAGCAGCATAGTTGTGTTTGGTAAACTATGAGTAGTCGACCAGCAGGTTAGTTGTGTGTTGTATTTGGGGAACTATGAGCCATCGAGCTGGTCACTTGTGAGTAATTGTGTTTGTAATTGGTTAAATGTAGTCATTGAAACTGTTTGTTTTTTCAGGTTGCAGATTTTCTTTGTTGTTATTGTCCAGAAACTGATTGGTTTGCCAAATTGGAGAGAGTCTGCTGTTTTTCCTCTATAAATCTAATCGGTTTTGTCAGATTGTTGAATGTTGAATTAAAAATCGACATCATAGCACTCGGGTCACCCCCATAAGCGCTCCATCCCCATCTTCAGCAGCAAGTGAAGAGTTCCAGTTCTGATGGTACCAGTAACTGTCTATGATTGTGTATCCGTCTCGTCTTTCCCCTGAGTGTCAAGCGTTGGCCAGATCCCCTTGTAACTCTTCAGACTGTAATGATTGATCTGTCTGTGCCTCGGCACTGTTCACTCGCTGCCACAGCTTGTCATACATCAGTTCACCACCAAGTGGTGCAGAACCAGCCAGTCTATCTGCCTGCTCATTTCCCAACACACTGACATTGTCAAATTGGATGATGCCAATAATGATATGATAATACCATTAATAATACAATTAATGACATGGTGAAACTATTAATGATACAGTCATACCATTAAGTATACATGCTGTGAAGTCTGTAAGAGATACAGTATCTGTCCCTGGACGTAAGCACAGCTAGAGGGATTCACAATATGGACGTATTCTTGTTTATGTACGCAATAAGAAAATGAGATGACGTACATCTCCTTTTTCCTTGGAAAGTGGACCAGACACCACGCCTTCTCAGATAAAGGCAGACAAATTGGGAAATCAATTTGAACGTTTTTGTTTTCTGTTAAATTCCTTTGCTGTTGGTAATTGAAAATAGCTGGTCAGGCAGGTCGCTGCCAAGGTGGCATCTCAGATTAGAAAATAATTTACTCTTGCATAATGAAATAACTTCTGTGTAAAATCATTTCACTGACTGCTGAAGAGGAGGACGTAGCACTTATGGGAATGTCCAGAGTGCTGTGATAACGGTTCTCAAGTCATCACTGCCCCCCTTAACCAGCATGTTTTAAAAGTTGACTAAGGGTTTCCTTCATAGTCGGAGTGCATCTGCTTGATAGGCAAGGAACCAACAGTCTGCATACAACTTAGCCATAGTATTAGTAGTACCACGCCACTAAACATGTAGGTCATTGGCCCAGATTCACTCACATTTGAGTGAATCACTGAGTTTGTAGTCTGTGGAAAACCTGTCCATTTTGTATACTTGTGATGGGCACTTAGACTTGAGTGAATCAATGTGTCTGTCGAGTCTGTAGGGAAACCTGTCCGTATTGTGAACTTGTGACGGCCGCTTAGACTTGAGTGAATCAATGGGTCTGTCGAGTCTGTAGGGAAACCTGTCCGTGTTGTGAACTTGTGACAGGCACTTAGACTTGTACTGCTTTCTTGTTTCAGCATCTGAAGGACAAGTTTTGGAACTTTGTCTTCTACAAGTTCATCTTCATCTTTGGAGTCATGAACGTGCAGAGCATGGACGAGGTGGTCTTGTGGGTGGCCTGGTTCTCCGGCCTAGGCTTCCTGCATTTGTTGACCCAGTTGTCCAAGGATAGATCAGAATATGTGAGTTTTCTGGCATGGGGGAACAATGGGGAATGGGGCGTGGCCTCAAGTTGTTGTCTAGTATTAGATAAAGGTACTTGCTCTTGTATTTATTTATGTCCTCAATGTAGGTTCTGAGCTCCAGTTGTTGAGATGTGGGGGTTCTGAGCTTCAGTTGTTTAGATGTGGGGGTTCTGAGCTCCAGTTGTTGAGAGGTGGGGGTTCTGAGCTCCAGTTGTTTAGAGGTGGGAGTTCTGAGCTCCAGTTGTTAAGAGGTGGGAGTTCTGAGCTCCAGTTGTTAAGAGGTGGGGTTTCTGAGCTCCAGTTGTTGAGAGGTGTGGTTTCTGAGCTCCAGTTGTTGAGAGGTGTGGTTTCTGAGCTCCAGTTGTTGAGAGGTGTGGTTTCTGAGCTCCAGTTGTTGAGAGGTGTGGGCTCTGAGCTCCAGTTGTTGAGAGGTGTGGTTTCTGAGCTCCAGTTGTTGAGAGGTGTGGTTTCTGAGCTCCAAATGTTGAGAGGTGTGGTTTCTGAGCTCCAGTTGTTTAGAGGTGGGAGTTCTGAGCTCCAGTTGTTAAGAGGTGGGGTTTCTGAGCTCCAGTTGTTGAGAGGTGTGGGCTCTGAGCTCCAGTTGTTGAGAGGTGTGGGCTCTGAGCTCCAGTTGTTGAGAGGTGTGGGCTCTGAGCTTCAGTTGTTGAGAGGTGTGGGCTCTGAGCTCCAGTTGTTAGGGGTGGGGGGGGGGGGAGAAATAAACCGATTGCCAACCTGTCAAGCAAGTCTGAAAACTCGACCATTTAGAAATGTTTCCTTCAGTCGGAGTACATCTGCCTGAGGGATGAGGAACTAACACTCTGCAAATATATAAGCCAGATCTGTAAAACGGATATGAATGCAAGTTCTGGAACAACATAGAAGTGGATGAACAACCAGTACATTCTGCCAGAGTTTACAGCAAGCAAAGATGATGAACAACCAGAACATTCTGCTAGAGTTTACAGCAAGCGAAGATGATGAACAAGATTCTGGGGTTTATAGTTTATAATGTTTTTTTTTTAAGACTAAGTGAGTTTATTATAAAACATCTGTTTTAACTGGAGTCTGAAGAATGTAACCTAGTACTGCATGCAAAGACCCTTGAACATGTCTGCAACTGTTATCCAAAAGCCGAATGGACACACGTATACACCGATGGATCTTTGGAGGGAGCAGATAAAAACAGAGGCGCTGGATCAGTCATCATGCTGCAAGATGGGACCACTGTAGAAACGTCATGCGCCTCCGGAAGACCCTCAACAAACTTTAGAGCACAGCTAAACAGACTCTTAGAAAACAATCAAATCGTTCTCCAATGGATCCCGGCTCACTGCTGCATACCAGGAAATGAGTTAGCAGACAGACTTGCAAACAATGGAACAAAGGAGAAACAACACGCCCATTCATTGTCATTACTAGAAATCCAAACACTTTTCAAAGGAAAATACAAGGAATTATGGAGAGAACAAACTAACAGTAAACATCCACAAGACCCCATCAGCAGACTCAACAGAAAGCAACATTCAAAAATGTTCCGTCTACAAACAGGACACTGCAGGCTCAACTACCACACACATAAAATAAACATTGTACAGTCCCCACAGTGTGTCTGTCAAGCAGGACCACAAACAGCTGAGCACATTCTGCAGACCTGCCCACTCTACCTACAACTTCGAAAAGATACCTGGTTTCAGGAGCAAAGTGTGCAGAGCAAGCTATGGGGAACCATGAAGGACCTGCTATTGACATGCAACCCACCTGATGCTACTGACATGCAACCCACCTGATGGTACTGACATGCAACCCACCTGATGGTACTGACATGAAACCCACCTGATGGTACTGACATGCAACCCACCTGATGCTACTGACATGCAACCCACCTGATGGTACTGACATGCAACCCACCTGATGGTACTGACATGAAACCCACTTGATGCTACTGATCTGAGCATACAAACAGAAGAAACTGGAGACTCCACAGCACAAATCTTGGGCAGTATTGTAGACGCTATGCTCTAGCAGCATGATCTCTTGCTCGACCTGCCTTGTTTACTCCAAAGGAAAGGTAACACCAGAACATTTGGAACAAAGCAGGCTGCAGAAGCTGCCAGATCAGAAGAAAGGTTCTCTTTCTGTCTGCCTATTGAAGCTTCTCTCCTAGACCAGCTGCCAGCCAAAGCTAAGGGCATGGTCTGCGCTGCCATAACATGGAAGTTTTCATATTGCATTTCTTCTCCCTGGGATAAGGCTGGTATCCTCCCCCCCCCCCCCTCCCCCATGCACTCTTCTGCCTGAAGCTGTTGGTACAGTATGGGATGTCAGTTTTGAAATGCACCGCCCAATATTCAGTGTTAACAAAAAATATTTGTTTTCACTTCCACAGACCATTATGTTCTCTCTGTATTATTCACTTGCAGTTGTCGTACTCGCCGGCCACACCGTGGTCAGCACATGTCAAGCTACTGTCGCTGCTGGTGGTGATCCTGCTGCTGTGTCTGGCACTGCTGGTTGGCTGCGTCTGGGTGGCCATCAACGTCAGCTTCACCATCTTTACGTTTCTAGCTGCAGAGGTACGTGTTGGCTTGTTCATAACGCTTGTTGGCATTTTCACCTTGTGAACTCTAATAGATAGTTATATATTCTTCTTGTTGACGTTCACAGGCTGTGAACTCCAGCAGAAAGTCCCGGTCGTTTTTCTACATCTGGACCTCAGTCCTGCTCCAGAACTTCAGTTTTATATGCAGACCCATTTGACAGATCTGGCTTAGTTCTGTGCAAACTGTTGGTTCCTTACCTCTCATGCAGATGCACTTTGACTTTGAAGGAGGGTTATATTTTGATTTGTTGATGGTTATGTCACTCTTTAGCCTTTCATCCAGAGAAGTGTAAGGTCATCCTGCCACCAAACCCTGTATAGTTTCGCCCATGATTGGTTTAATTTTGCCACACAAGTTTTGATTGGTTCGATTTTTGCCACAAAGTTTTAATTAAGTTCGATTTTGCCACAAAAGGTTTGATTGTTTTGATTTTGCCACAAAAGATTTGATTGGTTTGATTCTGCCTCGAAAAAAAAAGTTTTTTGATTAGTTTGATTTTGCTACAGTACGGGAACAAATTGTCACGGACCGTGTTGTGTGAAGAAGGCAGGTCAGGAAGGGAATGAGAATGAAGAAAGAAATGATTGCAGAAAGGATGAGAGTTGAGCGCCTGTGAAGAAACAAACACAAATGTTGACAACAGTCCTGAAATCCCATGTTATAACTGTGGCAGACTTTTTTTCTTAACGCGGGAGGGTCTTTCTAGTCACACTCTCCATCGCCGTGGGCTGTGAGACCCGTGCCTCCTCATATCCCTAGTTGAACACTATCGTCTGGAAAGATAGAAAGGTGCCAATGAATGAATGAGTTAAGTAACAATTTAGGGAATCCATCTTGTAAGGTTTTTGTCTAGATTATGAATCAGGTGTTGTTAATTGCTTCAGCTGTTCAGTCAATCTGTTATTTTGCGGGTTTACTTCTTACAACACCACAACAGTGAAACACAAATAACTTTGAATTTTGTTTCAGAGTGTACTAGTGATGCTGAAGAGTTCCTATGTAGTTGTTCGGTAAGTATAATTTATATAATATTTAAACAGCATATTTATATCTTAAATCCTGTCTGATTTTATTTGTTATCCTTGTCAGACAGCAGTGTTTCCTTGGTTGTGAGCTTTCTGTGACTGGGTGCTTTGATTGCTCAACTGATTGGTTCCCTGTGTGATTCTGGGGCTCCATTATGGAGAACAAAGAATATATCCACAACCCCTCCCCCCCAGGCAAGCATGTTGTACGAGGCAACTAAATAAGGACAGGGAACCAACAGTCTGCCTACAAATAAGCCGGATCCGTAAGAACCGAACTGTAAAGCAGAGTTCTTATTCTTTTCCAAGGGTGCAGAGTAATGAGCAGAATGATAGACTGGCTGTTGCTGCTTCTGTTCTTCTGGGCAGTAAGCTAATTTAAAATAAAGTGGACATGGCGAAGGCATGGTGAGAGTAAGCAGGGGATCTGGGCGGTTTTTAGCAGTCATGAATTTATTCATTCTCAATTCCCTCCAAACTGCAAAACCAGGTGGGCAGGCAAGACAGGTACTGAAATGTTACGTCTGCAGAAAGTCAGCTTGACTGGTTACTGAAATGTTATGTCAGCAAAAAGTCAGCAAAATCATTGAAAACATCAGCTTGACTGGTTACTGAAATGTTATGTCAGCAAAATCATTGAAAACATTAGCTTGACTGGTTACTGAAATGTTACGGCTGCAAAAAGTCAGCAAGATCATTGAAAACATCAGCTTGATTGGGTTTTCACTAAAGAAGAAATGTGAGCGTGTTAAACTGCCATTTCTTGCTAGGTAGACGATCAGGTGCCTAGTTTATTCTTTCATTGAAGGTGATTCTTTACAAACACAGCAGACTAGATGAAACAAAGTAGAAAGCAAACCAAAATAAAAGCAGATTACACCAAAATCAAATCATACAAAAGTAAAGCAACCCAAATAAAGTATATAAAAATAAACAAAACAAACCTAGACAAATGCACAATAAACCAAAGCGAACCAAACACTAAAGTCAACAAAGGTAAACATGAGACTGCTGACAGTGGTTGTGGTCTGCCAGTGACTGTGAGGATGTGTCTTCTCCACAGTTACCTGATCCAGCTGTGGGACATGAGCCTGGAGGGCGTCTGGGAGGGTCGCTCTGTCTACCTCTACTACACCGAGCTGTTGTTTGAGCTGGTCATCCTTGGAGTGGACTTTGCTCACCATCTGCACATGCTGGTGAGTGGGCAGAGACAGCGGGTGTCTGCAGGGAGGCAGGAAGAGGGCGAGGGGGTGTCTGGGGGGGAGGGCTTGTGTGGGGGTGGGGGGGGGGGGGGGGCTTCGTCTACTCAACTGCACAAATCTGTTGTTTGAGCTTGACTGGTTGGCAAAAATTTTGTTTTCACTGTCTGCACATGCTGGCAAGTTGGGTGTCGGTTTCATTGATGATGAATGCGTTTCTAGTGTCGGACTATTTGTGTTGACCCTTCTGGTGGCTGCCATATGCATTGAATGTGTGTATGCTATTGGATTTGCTGTGACTGCAGTCTGAGTCAGTCTTCTTCTGAGCGGTGTTTGTCGGCACAGAAACACAGCAACTGTGGGGTTGATCCGTTTGCTGAGTATTTGAAACTGCCAATACTTGACAACCTGTATGTCTGGTTTTCTAGAAAGAGGGAGGGAGAGATTCTTTCATCATCATCATCATCCTTCTTTGTGCATGGACTTTGCAGTCTGTTCTTTAATTCTGCTCTGTCCTATGTGATCCTCTCGACATCATGGACTGGAGAACACTGGAATAACACCCAGTATAATTTAGTACTTTCCTGTTGACTTTAACATAGGTTAATTTATCTGTCAGTCCAGATAAGGGGAGTTCGTGAATGACTAAATGTTTATGACATATTGCTGCTGTATGGTAACATATTCCGGAGTTTGTAAATGACTAGATGTCTGTGACATATTGCAGCTGTACGAAAACATATTCCTGAGTATGTGAATAGCTATATGTCTGTGACATATTGCAGCTGTACGGTAACATATTCCTGAGTATGTGAATAACTATATGTCTGTGACATATTGCAGCTGTACGAAAACATATTCCTGAGTATGTGAATAACTAAATGTCTGTGACATATTGCAGCTGTACGGTAACATATTCCTGAGTATGTGAATAACTAGATGTCTGTGACATATTGCAGCTGTATGAAAACATATTCCTGAGTATGTGAATAACTAGATGTTTGTGACATATTGCAGCTGTACGGTAACATATTCCTGAGTATGTGAATAACTAGATGTCTGTGACATATTGCAGCTGTACGGTAACATATTCCTGAGTCCGTAAATGACTAGTTGTTTGTAACATGTTGCAGCTGTACGGTAACATATTCCTGAGTATGGCCAGCCTAGTGATCTGTATGCAGCTTAGGTTCCTTTTCTACGAGTTCCAGCGTCGCATCCGTCGGCACAAGAATTACCTTCGGGTTGTCAAGGACATGGAGTCAAAGTAGGTTTTCTGTCTGTCTGCTCGCCTGTCTATCTGTCTGCCTGGTTGTCTGTCTGTCTGTCTTACTTTCATCTTTGCTTTCTGTCTTTCTTTCTTGTTTTTTGTAGCTTTTTATCTTTCTCTCTGTTGATTTTTCTTTCTGTCTTTTTTTAAAATCTTTCTATCTCTCCGCATCTCTTCTTCTTTCCATCCTTCAGCTTGCTTTTTTTTTTTTCTGAACTGTTAAAAATTGAGAAAACTGTACCGTGACATCCTGTTAAAAATATAATCTGCTTATCTCCACCTGACTGTTGGCTGCTCTCTACCTGGTGACAGGTGTTCCTGATCTCTTATCTCCACCCGACTGACTGTTGGCTGCTCCCTACCTGGTGACAGGTGTATCTGATCTCTTATCTCTACCTGACTGACTGTTGGCTGCTCCCTACCTGGTGACAGGTGTTCCTGATCTCTTATCTCTACCTGACTGACTGTTGGCTGCTCCCTACCTGGTGACAGGTGTTCCTGATCTCTTATCTCCACCCGACTGACTGTTGGCTGCTCTCTACCTGGTGACAGGTGTATCTGATCTCTTATCTCCACCTGACCGACTGTTGGCTGCTCTATACCTGGTGACAGGTGTTCCTGATCTCTTATCTCCACCTGACCTACTGTTGGCTGCTCTCTACCTGGTGACAGGTGTTCCTGATCTCTTATTTCTACCTGACCGACAGTTGGCTGCTCTCTACCTGGTGACAGGTGTTCCTGATCTCTTATCTCTACCTGACTGACTGTTGGCTGCTCTCTACCTGGTGACAGGTGTTCCTGATCTCTTATCTCTACCTGACCGACTGTTGGCTGCTCTCTACCTGGTGACAGGTGTTCCTGATCTCGTATCTCCACCCGACTGACTGTTGGCTGCTCTCTACCTGGTGACAGGTGTTCCTGATCTCTTATCTCCACCTGACCAACTGTTGGCTGCTCTCTACCTGGTGACAGGTGTTCCTGATCTCTTATCTCCACCTGACCGACTGTTGGCTGCTCTCTACCTGGTGACAGGTGTTCCTGATCTCTTATCTCTACCTGACTGACTGTTGGCTGCTCTCTACCTGGTGACAGGTGTTCCTGATCTCGTATCTCCACCTGACCGACTGTTGGCTGCTCTCTACCTGGTGACAGGTGTTCCTGATCTCTTATCTCTACCTGACTGACTGTTGGCTGCTCTCTACCTGGTGACAGGTGTTCCTGATCTCGTATCTCCACCCGACTGACTGTTGGCTGCTCTCTACCTGGTGACAGGTGTTCCTGATCTCTTATCTCCACCTGACCAACTGTTGGCTGCTCTCTACCTGGTGACAGGTGTTCCTGATCTCTTATCTCTACCTGACTGACTGTTGGCTGCTCTCTACCTGGTGACAGGTGTTCCTGATCTCTTATCTCTACCTGACCGACTGTTGGCTGCTCTCTACCTGGTGACAGGTGTTCCTGATCTCTTATCTCCACCTGACCGACTGTTGGCTGCTCTCTACCTGGTGACAGGTGTTCCTGATCTCTTATCTCTACCTGACCGACTGTTGGCTGCTCTCTACCTGGTGACAGGTGTTCCTGATCTCTTATCTCTACCTGACCGACTGTTGGCTGCTCTCTACCTGGTGACAGGTGTTCCTGATCTCTTATCTCATCATCCAGTCTCAAACAAACACCACCATTGAATGAATCATTGAATCAAAAATTGGCAACCCTGAACTTGAAACATTCCCACACATGCTGCAGCTTCTTTCTTGGTAGCTTTCTTGGGTGCACAGCTATCTAATCCCACTACCGAAACCTTTTAAAGATCATTCTAAGCTTAGTGGCTTTAAAATCATCACCTTACAAAACACTTTTGGGAAGGTCTTGGAGAAGATAGTTGCTGTAAAGCTGAAAGAATTTTTGGAAAGGGGGAAGCTTCTCCCAAGAGGTCTGGGAAGCTACAGGCCAGGAAAGGCACTTGGGCAAATGCGGCCACTTTTGCTTTTTACGTCTATGAAGGGTTCCAGAACAGACAGGAAACTATGGCGACAGTACTGGATCTCGAGGATGCTTATAACAGTGTGAGATACGACATCTTAATGACTGCACTGAAGGAGAAGGAGATCAGTCCATGGCTGGTGAATTGGGTTTCAGCTGTCCTGTATTCACGTCGGGTTGCTCTCCGACTGGGCTCATGGACCTCAGAACCATGCACTTTGGCCCCAGGACTGCCACAGGGATCCGCCATCTCGCCTGTGCTCTTCAACATGTATACGAGCAAGATTGCAAGTCTAGATGCACCAGGAGTTGGAAGGATACTGACTTTTGCGGATGATATACTTGCATATAGGCAGGGGGAAGAGAGGGAGCAAACAGCCCGGGAGCTACAAGCGACAGTGGACAAAGTGACTGAGTGGTATACAGAAATGAGGGCTGTCGTCCCCCGGAAAAGGCGTCTGTTTTGTGGTGTTCTCTGGACAACAGAATCGTTAAAACTGTCCCAAGTCTCACGACAGATGGTAGAGACGTCAACAGAGAGAGCAAACTGAAGTATCTGGGAATTACATTTGACAGGAGCCTCTCATTTAAGGACCATGTGGAGAGTGTTGTGATGAAATTCCAAAAAGGACTTAGTGCACTTAAGACTATGGCTGCAATTGGCATAGAGCAGAGAATGCTTTTCACACTATATCAGCACCTGATCCTATCAGTGGTTGATTATGGCCTGGGAATTCTTACCGTCTCAAAGAGCCAGATGGACAAACTAGAGCGCATACAGAACACGGCAATGCGGGTCATTCTAAGTTGCACCAGAGACACCCCAGTGGTGTGTATGCGATACATCCTTGGTTTGCCGACGGTTGCAGGTAGGCACAAGGTGCTGCAGGCGAAGTCATATCTTAGGGTAGCTGCAGACACAGACCACCCTCTGCATGAAGCCATGGAAAATATTTATAGGTTTGTAGTACCCGTTTAGAGTTTGTGAATGTGTCTGCAGGTTTCCCATGGCCACACAAGAAGACCTGGAGCAGAACGCGGATGATTGTGCTATTTGCTGGGAGAAAATGAATGCTGCTAGGAAGCTACCTTGTGGGCATCTGTTTCATAAGTGAGTTGTCTCAGATGATGCTTAGTGGTGTTGGGTGGGATGTCATAGCAGCAGAGATCATTGACAGCAGGGTAAGGTGATCATTGACAGCAGGGTAAGGAGATCATTGACAGCAGGGTAAGGTGATCATTGACAGCAGGGTAAGGTGATCATTGACAGCAGGGTAAGGAGATCATTGACAGCAGGGTAAGGAGATCATTGACAGCAGGGTAAGGAGATCATTGACAGCAGGGTAAGGAGATCATTGACAGCAGGGTAAGGATATTATTGAAGCAGGGTAAGGAGATCATTGACAGCAGGGTAAGGAGATCATTGACAGCAGGGTAAGGAGATCATTGACAGCAGGGTAAGGAGATCATTGACAGCAGGGTAAGGAGATCATTGACAGCAGGGTAAGGAGATCATTGACAGCAGGGTAAGGAGATCATTGACAGCAGGGTAAGGAGATCATTGATAGCAGGGTAAGGAGATCATTGACAGCAGGGTAAGGAGATCATTGACAGCAGGGTAAGGAGATCATTGACAGCAGGGTAAGGAGATCATTGACAGCAGGGTAAGGAGATCATTGACAGCAGGGTAAGGAGATCATTGACAGCAGGGTAAGGAGATCATTGACAGCAGGGTAAGGAGATCATTGACAGCAGGGTAAGGAGATCATTGACAGCAGGGTAAGGAGATCATTGACAGCAGGGTAAGGAGATCATTGACAGCAGGGTAAGGAGATCATTGACAGCAGGGTAAGGAGATCATTGACAGCAGGGTAAGGAGATCATTGACAGCAGGGTAAGGAGATCATTGACAGCAGGGTAAGGAGATCATTGACAGCAGGGTAAGGAGATCATTGACAGCAGGGTAAGGTGATCATTGACAGCAGGGTAAGGAGATCATTGACAGCAGGGTAAGGAGATCATTGACAGCAGGGTAAGGATATCATTGACAGCAGGGTAAGGAGATCATTGACAGCAGGGTAAGGAGACCATTGACAGCAGGGTAAGGAGATCATTGACAGCAGGGTAAGGAGATCATTGACAGCAGGGTAAGGAGACCATTGACAGCAGGGTAAGGAAATCAGTAAGGTAATTAATAGCAGATTGAAAAAGTGGCTTCATTTATAGAAAATCTGATGCTATATTTTCCACATTGTTACACTATCATTAATTGAGATGCTCACAGAGTGAGATGTCAGCCAGTTGAATCTGTTCCGTATTCATTCTTATTGATTACCCTCTTACTCTGTATGGGGTTTCTCATTTTCCGTAAATTGTTTTTATACTGTCTTTTTTTTTTTTTTTACATTTATGAATTTTTTTTTTAAAGATTTGTTTGGAAATTCCCGAAACATAGCAAGTTTTGGATCTTAGCTTAGATTGTTCTTGTTCCCCGGGGGGAAGAGGTTAGAGAGGTATTTGATATTAGTCTAATAGTCAATTTATAGTCAATGAAAGTGACTGTTGACTGTAAATTAGGGAGATAATTTCTAGTAAATTACATGGGTAATTGACAGTAAATCTGAAAGATCATTTGATAGCAAGGTAAGGAAGCAGTTTATAGTAGTAGATCATTTTAGTAAGTTAAAAAATATAATTTGTAGTACTTGTATGAATAATTCATAGTAGATTGAATAGATTATTTTTGTTTGATTGAGGAGGTAATTTATGGTAAATTGTAGGGATAAATTATAATTTTTAAATTTATAAAATTAATTAAATCTGTAATAGATAACGAAGCCAGTTTATATTAGGTAAACAACACTTATATCAGAAGTTGACTTTCATTTTCAGCTCATGCTTACGATCGTGGTTGGAACAGGACACCTCATGTCCTACATGTCGTACAGCTCTGAGTGAAACAGGAAGGAGGGAACGGCAGGAGGCTGGGCAGCCAAGAGGAGCTAACCTCGCTGATGCTGTTGTAGCTCAAGCTAACCAGCAGACTACAAACCACTTCTTTCATTTTGATGGTAAGGGCCAGTGTTGTTTATGAACTGATGTCTTCACACTTCAGTTCCTGCTCCCGTTGTTCCTTAATTTGTAGTTTAAAGTAAAGTAAGTAAAGGACCCTTTTCCATGCCTTTCAGGCGAATTGGGCATATAGGGCTAGACCTATATTTTATAGACCATCGGCATGAGATGGGGGATGTGGTCAGCACTACGCCGGCCGCCTTTATGTCCCATGACTGCACCCGGTACCCACTCAAGGCTGGGTTGACCTGGGAGCCAAGGTCATTTAAAAAAAAGTCAGGCTCCGCCAGGGATCGAACCCACAACCTTCCGATCCACATGCAAGCATCTAGCCGCAAGACCATGGCGACTAACGTGTAGCTCAGAGAGAGTTGTAAATTCCAAGTCTTTTTTGGAGAATGCCAAAAATTACTATACGTGTATTAGAGGAATTAATATAATTTCCTGACATTACAGAATGTTTCTCTCGCATCCAAACACAGGTATTCTGTGATGGACAGTTGATGTTGTACTCCTCTACCTGTGCCCAAAAAATATATATATATCAGTATTAAAGTTGATAGAGCATCCAGTTGACCTTATTCTTATGCTCCTGCAGGCTCCAGGTATGTGAGCTGGCTGCCGAGCTTCTCTGTAGAGGTGACCCACACGAACCTGATGCCGGGTCAACAGGCTCACGCCACGCAGACCTCCCAGCTGGACAACATGGTGAGAGGCAGGGGCTTGTTTGTGCTGTCTTTCTCTGACACTATTACAGATTTTAGTTTGTTACAGGATGTTGCAAAGCCAACGCCTGCGCCCCAGCCCCTTTTTTTTAAATTGCTGTTTGTGATTTCGCTAAACAGTTTTATGTTCAGTAGTTTGCCATTGCTTTCTGAATGCAACTGTCAGTACCATTGTTGACACCAAAGCCTGACGGTCGGCTGCTGCCTGCAGCAGGGATTGAACCCGGCTCCGTAGAATTACAAAGCCCATTCGCAACGCCTTAGCCACAGACAGTGACAAGATGTTGGGGGAGGGGGGGGGGGGAATCGTCGAATGATTGAAAGAGTTAATGAAGAATTGTCATCTTGCACTCGGACATTCCCACACTTGCTCCGTCCTCGTCTTCAGAGTTAATGAGTTGCCATGCTGATGGCGCCTTCGCAACCTTGTTTATCATTTGCATGAAGAATGATTGCCACATTGTGTTTATCATTTGCATGAAGAATGATTGCCACATTGTGTTAATCATTTGCATGAAGAATGATTGCCACATTGTGTTAATCATTTGCATGAAGAATGATTGCCACATTGTGTTTTGGGTTTATTTCAAGTCTGCGACACATCTGATTTCACTAAACCCTTGATTGGCAAAGAACCCTTTTCCACGCCTTTAGGCACAAGAGGCATATAGGGCTAGACCTATATTTTATAGTCCAGTCGGTACTCAGTGGATAATGTAGTCAACATCACATGATCCGCTTTTACTTCCAAGAACTTTACCTGGTAAACATTTAAAGCTCGTTCCACCTGGGAGCAATGATCATCTTTTAAAAAATATCCAGCTCCGTTTGAATTGAACCCACGACCTTCGGATCTGCAGGCAAGACATCTAATCGCTACATAACGGCGGCTCCCCCAAATATGCTGCTCCCCCTTTAACGCCTATGTGGAGAGGGAGGTGCCTTGGGTATTTTCTCTCTCTGCCTCCCAAGTGGGGTCCTAGATTAGCAACCTTATTACAAGACAAGTCTGCTTGTTTTTACCCTGTACGCTGAATAGGTCCAGATCTTCTGCTCACTCTTAACTGTATCAGTCTCCTCAGATATGGGTAGACAGCTGTCTGCTGAAGTAGGTACGGATTCCCTGCACTCTCTGCGTGATCCTAGAGAGCCCTCACCATGTCTGCTTTATCATAAAGTAGCTCACCGCTCAGGGGATTAACAGCGGCCAGTCTGTTAATTCCACACAACCCTCTGGGCAGAACGTAACCTTATCAAGTTGTTGCTGTTGTTACACAAACGTAACCTTGTCAGGTTGTTGCTGCTGTTACTCAAACATAACCTTATCAGGACACTCAACTAAAGGATGATAGGCTAAACCTTGGCTCCTGCCAGGTCAGCCCGACCACATCACCACCCAGGTCAGCCCGACCACATCACCTCCCAGGTCAGCCCGACCACATCACCTCCCAGGTCAGCCCGGCATAAAATGGTTGCTAGTTAATTCCGTGGGAAGTAAAGGCACCTGGCATACTGTTGAACACATCAACTCTCGAGGGTCGATGTCTGTACACATTGGAGTTTAGCATTATGTGCAGCACTGGCATCTCTGTTTTTGAAAGTCTCCTTTTTGTCCATAATTGACCATTTTAATTTTCCTTCACTACAGGCTCGAGAAGTTCAGATCGTGTTTCCCAGCATCCCTCAGTCTGTAATCATGGAGGATCTACGTCTGACCCGCTCTGTGGACTTGACCATTGATAATATTCTAGAAGGTCGCATTATTGTGCCCCAGGTAAGGGACATGCGCTCACGTGCATGCGTGCATGTGTGTGTTTTTTGGGGGGTTTTTCCCCCCAAAGTGAGGTTCCAGAGTTCTCAGGAAGGCAGTACATATGTTTGATATTGATGGAAACAATTAGTAAAAGTACTTGGCTGCTGCATCAGAGGACTGAGCATGCATGGAAATGCTTAATATGCAGTGACGTCAATTGTGATAACATAACATTTTTTTGAAAACATTCACATTGATATATAGCGGATGGCTTTTGAAATCTGAAGCAGTCAAAGTTCATTCGGTGTGGTTAAAGAGCATACTTTTTTTGGCTGCAGTGATTAAGATTTGAATACCATTGTCGAGCGAGTAATTAACTCAGCTGTTCACCCTGGTGTGACCTTGAAATAAGGGTTTTTGGTTTGTTTTGTTTTTACAAGGGGGGTAGGTGGGGATGGATTAACCTGTCTTGCTTGGGATGTCCTGTTCAGCTCAAGATATTTTGGTCACCCTACGCAAGACTGGTATTTTTATAAACCAGGTGGCACCACCAGGCCTGCCATCTGAACGTCTCAGAACAAAACCTGGTACCCCTGTCAGGCTGCGTCGACCTGTCATTTTTGTGAGAAATCTGGAGACGGTAGTTGCACCTTGAAAGATAGATGAAACTGAACTGACTGAGTGAGTGAGGTTGACTTTTATTTCCAGCAGGTTGCCATTACGTCTGCAGGCCACCAGCGTGGAGACACCCACACACTTGCCAACAATTCTGTGACATCAGAGGTCAGTTCATCTAGATTATATTGTAACCACATGTATCACCGTTGATGTGTTCTGTAGATGTCATCATCATCTTGTGGTGCCAGTTATATGTTGCATAGGCAGTGCTGGATTTATGCATAAGCTAGCTGAGTGCCTCACATTCTGTAGGGGCCTCAACGAATTCCTCTGTAATGTTCGCAGATACAGTTTTATTTTAACAGAGCCTTTAAGAGGATTCCAGACAATAATTTCTGTGATTTTTCACACATTTTTTCTTTTACTAAAAATTAAACATGATTATTTTTCTGTTATCCGTCTGTCTGTAATGTATATTTTGAAAACAGTAGGGGCCTCATGGCTTTATATAGCTTGGGGCCTCATCAGATCTAAATCTGGCTCTTCACATATTGCTTGCAGTCTGTTCATAAACTTTGTTATAAAAGTTTCTTTTCTATATTTCTGACAAACACAATTTTCTTGTGTATATTTTTTACTGTAACAAAAGTTTTTTCTGTATATTTCTGACTGCAACAGCATTTTTGTGTGTATATTTCTAATGTAACAAAAGTGGGTTTTTAAAATTTTTATCTGTGTGTGTGTATATTTTTGACTGTAACAACAATTTCTTGTGTATATTTTTTACTGTAACCAAAAAAAAATTCTTGTGTATATTTTTGACTGTAACAAAATTTTCTTGTGTATATTTTTGACTGTGACAAAAGTTTGTTCTGTATATTTCTGACTGTAACAGCATTTTTGTGTGTAACAAAAGTGGGTTTTTTAATTATTTATCTGTGTGTGTCTATATTTTTGATTGTAACAAAAATTTCTTTTTTATGTTTCTGACTGTAACTAAAGTTTATTTTGTACATTTCTGACTGTGGCAAAAATTTATTGTGCACATTTCTGACTTTAACAGAAGTTTCTTTTGTTATATTTCTGATTGTAGCACATTTCTTGTGTACATTTTTTACTATAACAAAGGTTGTTTTTTTGTGTGTGTATATTTCTGACTGTAACAAAAGTTTTGCACTTTGCTGCTTGTTTCAGAGTTTGCCCAGTCTGACATCTGGATCCAGTGTAGAGAGTCAACAGTTTGGGGCTCAGTCTCTCCCTAGCCTGGATCAGGATCTCCAAGTTGAGGCTGAGGCAGCCACAGACCACAGAGAAGTCCAGTGAGTGGTTTTCTGAATTTGTCTAGCACTTTCCTGGGTGGCTTGGGTGATGGATTTGTTATCTTTTTGCTGGTTTCACCAACGTCATTTATCCTTTTCTTTCTTGGTCTTCCTGTTGCCTTCCTCCCAGACGCTCTGCTGACGCAGATGCAGTTTGGTATGGCTGCATTTTTTCAGACGTGGTCTTTTTTTGACATTGTCTCCTAACAGGCATGTCGGGAAAAGTTACTGATAGGGAGATGGCTGAAACTGGACGTGTTTGGCCAGACAGGAGATGCAGATAATTGCACTGTCACCACAGCACAGCACCACCAGTACAGCACAGCACAACACAGTACAACACAGTACAGCACAACACAGTACAACACAACACAGTACAGCACAACACAGTACAGCACAACACAGTACAGCACAACACAACGTGCCAACTGCCTTTTCAAGGACAAATGCAGCAGTACAAGAAAAATAAAAAATATGAAATGAAAATATTTTTTTTTAAGAGAGAGAGAGAGAAAGAAAGAAAGAGAGAGAGAGAGAGAGAGAGAGAAAATAAGAATAGCAAGAAATATTTTGAAAAGTATTAACATCTAGAAAGATAATCCATTAAAAATTAAAGTTTTCAGATGTTGTATTACCTCTTCCGATCTTAATTAGGTTTTCTGTATGAACCTGTTGAAATTATGAGTATGGGAATATGTATGTGTCAACTTGCTGCAATATGACAACTAGCAGACTTGCCTGTTTGTCTACCCAGAGATTCTGTCACCCCGAATGTGACCTCTGGTAGCCGGTTCTCCAAGTCTGCTTCCGAGAGGATGAACATGTTGGAGCAGCGGAAACAGGTCATGTTGGAGCAAGCCAGACGGTAGGTAGCTGTGTATGTGACAGGTGCAGGTCATGTTGGAGCAAGCCAGACTGTAGATAGCTGTGTATGTGACAGGTGCAGGTCATGTTGGAGTCAGCCAGATGGTAGGTAGCTGTGTATGTGACAGGTGCAGGTCATGTTGGAGCAAGCCAGATGGTAGGTAGCTTGTATGTGACAGGTGCAGGAAACTTATCAGTTTTAAGCAGAGTAATCCCATGAATTACTGTTTTTAGCCTAATGTAATCTCATACTGTTTCACCTGTTTCTAGCCTAACGTAATCTCATACTGTTTCAAGCCTAACGTAATCTCATACTGTTTCACCTGTTTCTAGCCTAACGTAATCTCATACTGTTTCACCTGTTTCTAGCCTAACGTAATCTCATAGTTTCACCTGTTTCTAGCCTAATGTATGAAATTTTGTACTGTTTCACCTGTTTCTAGCCTAACGTAATCTCATACTGTTTCACCTGTTTCTAGCCTAATGTAATTTTGTACTGTTTCACCTGTTTCTAGCCTAATGTAATTTTGTACTGTTTCACCTGTTTCTAGCCTAATGTAATTTTGTACTGTTTCACCAAACCTGGTCATGTTTTCCAGGGAATAGCGGGATACTATGTAGTCCTTCAAGACTTCAGATTCGGTAGACATTTTGTCGTGGCTTTATCCGACACAATGATCGGTTTACTTATTACTCCTCCTCCTTCTCTGTCTTTTTTCTTCTTCTTTTTCTCCTCCTCTTTCTTGACATCCTCCTCCTGCTTTCCCTTCTTCTCCACCCTTCTCATCCTCCACTTTTTGTTGTGGCTTTATCAGACACCGTGATCTGTTTACTTATTCCTCACCCTCTTTCTAATCCTGTATCTCTTCCTTTCTTCGCCTTACTCCTCTCCTCCTCCTCCTGTCATTCATCTCCATTGAAACATAAGACTGTCAGCCCTCTCATGCCAAGGCTTTTTTAGACCCAGAATGATTGGTTGAATCTTGCAGCAGCATCAGTTTTCTGCGGCATGAGATGATCATCAACAACATGATCAGACACACCGCACTATCCTCTTACAAATGTTTCTTCTGCTATGAGGATTTGGACTATTTCAAGTCTTAGATTTCTGTTTCCTGGTGAAAGAAGGTTTTACAAAAGGGGTGGTGGTGTTGGCCTGACACTTGCAGACTCAGCCTGAGGGACCAGGATATGGGACCAGGCAGACCTTCACACAATTGGAGTCATCAGCTGGAAAGTGAAGGCCAGTCATAGAGATAAATAAAGGCAAATGATGTCTCAATTACTACTGTAAAATCTTGCTCTGAAGATCAAACCGCCCGCTACTCATTGAAAAATCTTTTTTATTCACAGTTCTAGTATTCTCAGTCCAGGAAGTATCAATATTCAACACAGCTTTATTTATTTTTTTTAAACATATTTTTTAACTTGTTTATATTTTTTACCTATTTTTCCAAACATCTTACTTTTTTGTTTCATAATATAACCCTTCCTGTCCAGCCCATAAAGTATTTCTTGGTTTCTTGTTGACCTTAACTGTTTAGAAGCTCTGAAAGCTCTATTGCTTTGTCCACTGAGTTTTCCAGTCACACTTTATGTTGTATTTAGTACCCTGTTGATAAAGACTTTGGTTACAATGTTCGGTTGTATTTGTGCGCGTCTTTTCCATTTAATTTGTCGAGCTGTGTAGTCAAATTTTTTATATTGTATTAGCACTTCTTTTTAATTTTCTGTTTTATAAGTTTAAATTTTGTGTGTGTGTGACAGTTGACTTTTTGATTCCAGAGCCTACCAGGCAAGTCAGGACCGAATGTTGTCTGCGGAACTGTCTTCTTCACAGCTCACAGATCCTGACTTTGATGACCCGGAAAGTTCCTCTCACCAGAATAATAATTCTGACGAAGATGTGCGGGTGAGAAGACGAGCATTACTGCTTGAAGCCACACAGCGGCGGTTGGATCAAAACTCCAGTTCTTAGAAAACAAGACTATTCCTCGCTAGAAAAATGTCCCTGCAAATGAAATTATTGAGGACATTAATCAGGCATGCGTCAGTTGGTGCAATATAGCATTTACTGTTTCTAGACGTTGTGTCGTTTGGTCTGAAAATTGTGTGTTTATTCTCATATATTGAGTATACATCGGTGATTTTAATCGGGCAAATAAGACTTGTTACATCACTGATGCTGTAATAAACATTGTTACCATATACATGTTATTATCACCATTTGTGTTTCAGTTTAATGTGTGTAACAATGCCGAGGTTAAGTGTTGTAGTTGTAGCTGATTCATCGATGGATTAATTCAAATTAATAGCACTAGGGAGGAATATAAATATGCTCAGTCTCTCCCAGCGACAGAGTGAAGGAATGTTGATTATTTCTTGATAAGACTGATTGAAGGCATGCTGCAGATATTGACCTAAGTAGCATCGGTTTTTGAGCTTTCTTATATTGTCCCTAGGTAGTCATCAACGTTTGAGGACATGTCGATATTGTCCCCAGGTAGTCATCAGTGTTTCAGGACATATTGTCCCCAAGTCATCATCAGTGTTTAAGGACATGTCAATATTGTCCCCAAGTAATCATCAGTGTTTAAGGACATGTCGATAGTGTCCCCAAGTAATCATCAGTGTTTAAGGACATGTCGATATTGTCCCCAAGTAATCATCAGTGTTTAAGGACATGTCGATATTGTCCCCAAGTAATCATCAGTGTTTAAGGACATGTCGATATTGTCCCCAAGTAATCATCAGTGTTTAAGGACATGTCGATATTGTCCCCAAGTAGTCAAGAGTGTTTGAGTACTTGTCAGTATTGTCTCCAGGAAGTCATCAGTATTTGAGGACATATCGATATTGTCTCCTAGTAATCATCAGTGTTTAAGACATGCAGACAGTGTCTCCAAATGGTCATCAATGTTTTAGAAGGCATGCATATATTTTCCTTCCTAGGAGCAGGTTAACTACACTGTCAAACTGTACTGCACCATTGCCAGTGTTGGCGAGGAAATATTTCCCCAGACTGAGACTCAAAACTCTTTTAGAAGCAGCCTGTAATTATTTGCACTCTTCATATCCTGAGTTCTAGTTTAACCCTGTCACCCTGAAAGAAGTTCTAGTTTAACCCTGTCACCCCTGAAAAAGTTCTAGTTTAACCCTGTCACCCTGAAAGAAGTTCTAGTTTAACCCTGTCACCCTGGGAGAAGTTCTAGTTTAACCCCGTCACCCTGGAAGAAGTTCTAGTTTAACCCTGTCACCCTGGGAGAAGTTCTAGTTTAACCCTGTCACCCTGGGAGAAGTTCTAGTTTAATCCTATTACCCTAGGAGAAGTTCTAGTTTAACCCTGTCACTATGAGAGAAGTTCTAGTTTAGTCCTGTCACCCTGGAAGATCTAGTTTAACCCTGTCACCCTGGGGATCTAGTTTAACCCTGTCACCCTGGGAGAAGTTCTAGTTTAACCCTATCACCCTAGGAGAAGTTCTAGTTTCGTCCTGTCACCCTGGGAGAAGTTCTAGTTTAGTCCTGTCACCCTAAAAGAAATTCTAGTTTAGTCCTGTCACCCTGGAAGAAGTTCTAGTTTAACCCTGTCACCCTGGGAGAAGTTCTAGATTTACCCTGCCACCCTGAGAAGTTTTAGTTCAACCCTGTTACATCAAGAAGTTTTAGTTTAACTGTCACCCAATAAGTTCTAGTTTTACGCTGAGAAAACAACCTAGTTACTTCTGATTGTGACACAACCCCATAAATGCCAGTATACTGACCTGTCTGCAATGCCTATTCTCAAAAAGTGCATTGAAATTCCCTTGGTTTAATGTGCGCCTGTGCAGGGTTTTATAGGTCAGGGTATGAGTAGAGTTGAGTCCAGAATTTACATCACAGCACTCGGGGCATTCCCATGCATGCTCCGTCCTCATCTTCAGCAGCCAGCGCAGAGTTCCAATACTGATGGTACCGGTCACAATCTGGTTAAATGTCTGTCTTGCCTTTCCTCTGACTGTAGTCAGCCGGCCAGACCCTCTGGTTACACCCAAGTACCTCATTCTCTCCAGGCCATAATAATATTCTTTCTTTACTGATTCGGTTGCTTGTTCCCAGAGGGCCTTGACCACATCTGCCTTGTCATGTATCAATTCACCATCCAGTGGTGTGGATCCAGCCAATCTGTCTGCCTGTTTATTACCCACCACGGACTGGAGAAAAGATCCAAAGTATGCTAAATACCCGTGACCTTTCCAGTGAAGCTTGCCACTCTGCTGGAAGCATCCCTGTCTTCACCTTTTTCAGCATGCTTTCAAAGTCTGTTACAGTTACGACATGTGTGTGCATCTTGTTCTCTAGCCACTGGAGAACTGCAGTTACCGCCTCCACCTCCATTCTCATGCTAGATGTTGTGGTGTTAGGTCAGGATGTGAATATAGTAACTAAAAATAGCATTTAGAAGGATTTCTTTATAACCACAATGGGTTTTTTTTTTTTAACCAAGTTAATGTCATTATGTCCAGTAAGCCTCAATGATGATAAAGGTCACGGTATGTGTTGCCTGATACCTCTTGACCTTTGGCCCCAGGAAATGTATTCCACTGAATGCTTTACTCTGTTCATGTTTATTGATGACCTCTTTTATACATCTTTATACATATCGAAAAAAATTACCAATATAGATAAATATTTTTTTTTATATATAATACAAAATTTATTAGAGACCTGTGCAAAATGGAATTTCTAAGGATTTATTTATAGTAAATTCCCACATTTTCGTGACCCCCTGTTTTAGCAACTGTAGTGAGAACAGGTTCAGAGTATTCGATGTTCGGGACTAAAAAAAAAGTCACAATAATAACATATAAAATAAGCAGGAGTCATACTAACAAATCAGATTAAAGAGTCGGTGTAAAAGTAACAAGCATCTGCAAAAGGAGAAAAGTCAGAAATGGGGACTGTCTCCCAGCCAATCAGTTTAGCACAAACAAATCAGACCATTAATATAGCCGAACACTGCTTGCAACAAAAGCTGTTTCCAGCCGGTTGAATATTGTTGACTTTTAATTTTTTTTGGTTTTTTTTTTGGTACAACTGAAACTGGGCTTTGTGTTTGGACTAATAATTGGACGCATGTTGGGTTGTCTAGTTCTGAAAGAGTTGCGTCCACTTTCCCAGGCAGTTGCCAGGTCAACATTTTTATTGCATGTCAGAAAAAAAAATCCCAGGTCTGACGAGAAAATAGAACCTACACCTCAGACGAGATAACCACTTTACTCATTAAAATGTCACTGACTAGCACTGGTAGATTTGTAGAGCTCTGTAGACTCAGAGAAACCATTTGTTCAATGTTGTATAGGTCACAGTAAGTTGTAGATCACAGAAAGTCATAGGTCACAGAAAGTCATAGGTCACAGTAAGTCATTATAACAGTTTCATATTGTCTTGTTGTTTGTTTTATTTTCTTGGTTATCTCAGGTAGAAAAAAAAGTAAAAGGTAAAAAAAAAAAATCACTGAGGCAAAACCCAATGTGAATGTGTCCTATTTTGCTCTGGATTGTGAAATACCTTGAGGTCATGTTGAGACTTATCCCTTCTCTATACTGAAAAGTGTTCAGTGCAGTTGTCTGATCTTGTTCATTCACTAATACCAACCGTAAGTTAAAAAAAAAAAAAAGTAAAGATCCCTTTTCACGCCTTTCGGCGCATCGGGCATATGGGCAGAGCGTCCCATATTTTTACAGACCATCAGCACTCGGTGGGTAATGTGGTCAGCATTACGCCGGCTGTCTTTACTTTCCCAGGACAGACCATCCTGGTACCCATTTTAGGCTGGGTCGACCTGCGACGTCCCATACCATGACAAAAATCCACGCAGCCTGCAGTGGGTTTCGATTGCGGTATGCTGGCTTACGAGTCGGACTCGCAACACCTTAGCCACGGACGCCGCAATACCAACCGTGTTTCCCCAAAAATATTACATTATACTAATTTGTGCTTAAGAAATGCACTAGGGCTTACCTTTGGGGAATTTTTTTTTCAAGATACAAAAATCCACATTTATTTGTTGTACAAAAATCTACATTTATTTGTTGTACAGAAATCTACATTTATTCAATTAATGTCATCTTCTCCTTGAACATCGTAATAACTCTCCAAATTTCAAAAATTAATTCCTAATTGAAGACTTACAAGACAGGTATAAGTGGCAACACAAAGTTATGAGATTAAAATAATGGCACAAACAAAAATGATGAGAAATTACTGTTGCCGAAATGCAACTTCATTTCACTGGAGTGACGTACCTTGAATTATAACTTCCCATGTGGGAAATGGGGAAAACAAGAGGAGACCCCCCTGTTTCCTCATCAAGCATGTAGTAGGAGTCAACTCATTGTTGGCTTCCTTTGAAGTCAGAGTGCATCTGCCTGAGTGGCAGGGAACAATCAACTGCTCACAAATGAGCCAATAAAACAAATGTACACACAAAACTCAGGCCCTGGCACAAAGCCAAAGTCCAAATGGACGAACAACCAGGACTATATACCGGAGCTCACAGCCGGTGAATAAAGAAGAAGAATGAACTACAACATTCATTTATTATCAAGTGTGCACTAGTGGTGTCTGTACTCAGATTGGACATTCAACAAGTCTCTCATTCTAGTTGATGATCTTAACTGGGGCTTAAATTAAAACCACACTGAAAAATTGTGCGAAGGTTTATGTTTGGGGGCAGGTCTTACTTAATTTTGGGAAACATGTTTGAAAAATGTTTGTGATTACATTCAGGGGTGGAAGAAGAACAGATGAGGCAGTCTGGTAAACCTGACATGTGTCTCTAGTGCTGGATCAAGGATGAAGACATGATCCCTGATCATACCATCGGCACATGATGGTAGACTTATTTTCGTTGACTAGTCAGCCCTCCATGGATGACACAGTCAATATCACACTGGCCACCTTTACTTCCATGGTCATTCCCTGTTACCCCTTTTAGTCTTGACAGACCAGGGAAGCCAAGGTCATTTGATGTCTGCCTCATACGTTTAAACCCCAGACCATTTTATAAAAGTCTGCCTCATTATGCATTTAACCCTACCAGACCTGAGGCCCTGAACCTAACTGTCCCCTATACCTGAGCTCCTGGGCATTAACCCTACCAGACCTGAGACCCTGAACCTAACTGTCCCCTATAACCTGAGCTCCTGGGCATTAACCCTACCAGACCTGAGGCCCTGAACCTAACTGTCCCCTATAACCTGAGCTCCTGGGCATTAACCCTACCAGACCTGAGGCCCTGAACCTAACTGTCCCCTATACCTGATCTCCTGGGCATCAACCCTACCAGACCTGAGGCCCTGAACCTGTCCCCTATAACCTGAGCTCCTGGGCATTAACCCTACCAGACCTGAGGCCCTGAACCTAACTGTCCCCTATACCTGATCTCCTGGGCATCAACCCTACCAGACCTGAGGCCCTGAACCTAACTGTCCCCTATAACCTGAGCTCCTGGGCATTAACCCTACCAGATCTGAGGCCCTGAACCTGTCCCCTATAACCTGAGCTCCTGGGCATTAACCCTACCAGACCTGAGGCCCTGAACCTAACTGTCCCCTATAACCTGAGCTCCTGGGCATTAACCCTACCAGACCTGAGGCCCTGAACCTAACTGTCCCCTATACCTTATCTCCTGGGCATTAACTCTACCTGACCTGAGGCCCTGAACCTAACTGTCCCCTATAACCTGAGCTCCTGGGCATTAACCCTACCAGACCTGAGGCCCTGAACCTAACTGTCCCCTATAACCTGAGCTCCTGGGCATTAACTCTACCAGACCTGAGGCCCTGAACCTAACTGTCCCCTATAACCTGAGCTCCTGGACATTAACTCTACCAGACCTGAGGCCCTGAACCTAACTGTCCCCTATACCTGAGCTCCTGGGCATTTAACCCTACCAGACCTGAGGCCCTGAACCTAACTGTCCCCTATAACCTGAGCTCCTGGGCATTAACTCTACCAGACCTGAGGCCCTGAACCTAACTGTCCCCTATACCTGAGCTCCTGGGCATTAACCCTACCAGACCTGAGGCCCTGAACCTAACTGTCCCCTATAACCTGAGCTCCTGGGCATTAACCCTACCAGACCTGAGGCCCTGAACCTAACTGTCCCCTATACCTGAGCTCCTGGGCATTAACCCTACCAGACCTGAGGCCCTGAACCTAACTGTCCCCTATAACCTGATCTCCTGGGCATTAACCCTACCAGACCTGAGGCCCTGAACCTAACTGTCCCCTATACCTGAGCTCCTGGGCATTAACACGAAAAACCAACATGATATACAAAAATATCAGTTACATGCATACAAGTTGTTAGAATAAAATGAAACTTAGGGACATTGTAGAAAATAGGTTAACCTTTCATCTAGCGTCAATATTCCACTTTTGTGTGCTAATCCACCCAGTAGGATCAGCCATGTTTCACAAAGTGAGCACCAGATGTTGCTGTTCGAGGAACACGCCCTTCTCTCTTATTATCGATCTAGTTTTAAATCTATAATTTTCAAGATTCTTCCTCACACTCGAGCTCTAACTGACTGTGTCACTTCAACTGGGAATGTATGCTTCAGGAAATTCTGACTCCTCAGAGTCTGAATCAACCAAAGTATCGATCACCTGTTGGACTGTGAAAAGCCTAGACCTACTTCACTTTCCTGTCAGAGTGCTTGGTTCATGGGCCGTCCATTTTATTGTGAATTTTCAGAATTTTGTCACGTTAAACCACACAAAGTCAATCCAAACACATGTGGGAAGCAATTTGCAATGACTAACCACCAGATTTGATCACGATTGGTTGGTTTTTTTTTAGTTTGTAACGCGTTTTATCACGTAGTATGCAAAGTACCGAAAATTAGGTACAATGATTTAGCGGCAGATTTGGAAAATACAGGAAAAGCGGTACAGCAGTCTGGTAAAGTTAAACCCAGGATCATTTTATAAGTCTTGTCTGCTTGTGCATTTAAATCTGGGATCATTTGATAAAAGTCTGCATCACTGTGCATTTAAATCTGGGATCATTTGATAAAAGTCTGCATCACTGTGCATTTAAATCTAGGATCATTTGATAAAAGTCTGCATCACTGTGCATTTAAATCTAGGATCATTTGATAAAAGTCTGCATCACTGTGCATTTAAATCTAGGATCATTTGATAAAAGTCTGCATCACTGTGCATTTAAATCTAGGATCATTTGATAAAAGTCTGCATCACTGTGCATTTAAATCTAAGACCGTTGCCCTCCCCAACAAGCTTGTTGTAATGCTTTCTTCAGTTAGAGTGCATAACGGACTGCATGCAAATAAATCAGCATGTAAAACACAACAACCCAGGTTCTGGAACAAAACTTAAGTCTAGAACTTTCTTCTAGAGTTTACAGCTGGTGAATGTGGAGAAGAGAAAGACATTTATTTCAGACATTCAAAACTGTTTTCTCAGTGGATTCAAGTAAGGGGACACAAACAGTAGGTTGAAGAACTTATTGTCTGGCATATTTCGCTGTATCCTGTCAGGTGCAGTATTACACTTACATCAACATATAGAGAAGCACAACAAACTGAATTAATTCCACTGAACTACATACCAGTTGGTCTCTCTCCATATCTTGAAGCTTTAGCAATAACAAGTGAACAATCCCCTTTATGTAAACAGAAGAAGTTTGTTATAAAGTTGAAGTTATCCTGGTAAGTGCATAAATGTCATGCACTTCTTGTTATTTGGTGAACAATGTGTTGAACCCATGTGATGTGAATTTCAGTGGAATTAATTCTGTTTTTGTGCTTCATTATATATTAATGACAGAAATACTGTTTTCAGATACAGACTTACAGTTTGCTTTGTTTGAATAAATTCACTGGAACTATATTGTGACACTTTTTGTGGAAAGTGAGAAAAAAAGAGAGAGAGAGAAACTACCAGGGTTATATACAGAATGTTGGGTGTCTTTATGCAGGCAACCATCATTATAAAGATGGTATCTGATTTGACACGACAAATTAACACAGTTTGATTTAGTAACCTTTGATGTTGATCTTTGACAGAGTACTGTTTATGTTTTACACATTAACAACTGAGACAGTAAAACATTATGTTGATTTAATCATCATCAAATATCTTCCCATATGGCGTGAGTGACACTCCATACCTTTTATCTCCCAAAATTATGCCATGAAAAAAAAAAAACTGTTGAGAATCTATCTCTCTTTGTACACATTTTCCAGTGGTCACAACTTGTTCCAGTTTTTCCCTTCTCATAATCTGGCCAAAAAATGATAGCTGCCTCTTTCTGATGTTTGTGATAAGTTGTCTTCTGTCCCTCACCTCTTTCAAAACATCTGCGCTACTCATTCTATGTTGACTCTTCTCCACTTCCACTTTGACCACTTTGGGTGTCGAGGGAGATATAAGGTTCTGTTTCTTGCTCTTCTGACCGCCTTGACCACAGACAGATCACTCTAATGTAGAGTTTCTTTGATATTATCTTTCCATTTTGTTCTTGGTCTACCTCATGTTCTACATCCTTCTTCCCGCTTTTGGTGTACGCCTTGAATGGTATAGCATCACAAAGCATCTCTCTACATGGGCAAACCATTTAGTCTCCTGCTGTCTTTGTATGTAATTTTGAATTGGTCTCAGAATTCATTCTGTGCCAGTGTTTTCTCTTATGACCTCAGTCCTGATTTGATCTATTCTGGTCACTCCTGCAGCCATTCTCATTTCGTAGCTACTTTCTTCTCTGGTTTGTCCATACTGATTTATGACACTTTTTCATGTTTATGTTTGATACAGCTAAAACACTTTAAGCTGTGCCAGCTTATTATAGTACAACTGTAGGAGGATACACCAGGTAACACACACACATTAAGTGCCAATAATTTTTAATCAATGCCAGCTGGCCCCAAAAAAAATGCAGTGACATTACACACACATACACAAAATGTTTTCATGAAAACATGTACAATCAAATGAAAGCTGACATTATTTAAATAAACGTGTGTTAAAACTTTTCCACCAGATCTAGAATTCTGTCCTTCTCTGCTTCTTTTGCCGCCCGGTCTTTAGCATCTCCAATATTGCCAGCATATTCTGCAATACACAAGGAAATCTCTTAATTACCTGTTTAAAATTCTGTATGTTTTATGTTTCCGCATCAACATCTTATCCATCTTTTCTTGACCCCCTTCCTCTTTCACTGCAGTAAAGCATGGGATCCTAGCTCCAACTGAATGAGTTGGGTTGATTTCAGAAACAACATCACAGCACTCACGGCATTCACATAAGCGCTCCATCCCCATCTTCAGTAGCCAGCACACTGATACCAGTAGCAGTCTGATTATATGTCCGTCTTGCCTTTCCTTTGAGTGTCAATCATCGGATAGGATCCCCTTGACATCCCTTGCTGCATCATGCTCTTGAGACTGAGAATCCAATCGCTTGTACACCTGCTCCTAAAGCCTTAGCCATGCCTGCCTTATCATGCATCAGTATTGCACCAAGTTGTGTACAGCCAACCAGTCTGTCCACTTTTTTATTTCCCAACACACCATGATGTTCCCAGAGGAAAGATCCCGAGGAAAACTCTTCATCCATAAACTCTGAAACGAAGCATGCCACTCTGCAAGCCTGACCTTAACTTCCTTAGCATGCTTTCTGAGTCGGTTACAATCACGATGTGTATGTGTGTCATGATCTCTAGCCAGCGGAAAGCTGCAGTAACCGCCTTTATCTCCATTCTTAAGCTGGATGTGGTATCATATGCTAAGCTCTCCTGCACCAAACGTCGGCCATTAGCTTTTGTTATCAACTCTTAGGCCTTATCTTTTACCTCTTGACACTGAAACATCTGCATAATTAATGACATTTACACTGAATAATATACTGAATATGAAATAATAAGATCAAGTAAAAACAAAAACATGGGTCTCTGTAGTCTGGATAAGTTCAGCAGTTTTTGTTTTTGGCATCGGAACAGGTGGTTTAGTGTATTCAAGCTGTGTGCCTCAAACGTGTTGTGGTCTCAAACATAGAGAAATACATCAGCTGTGTCAAACCAAAGTGGATGTCATCAGGGATCAAACCTTGGGCTTCCATGGCAAATGCCAGCAGAAAACCCACTAGATTTCCAAACACAGAACACTAACAAGCTCACAAACCTCGCATGATCCCTCTAATGACCTTGACAGAACCACCACGCATGTTGAGAATTTGCATGACTCTTGCTCGAATCTGAAACATTGCACAAAATCACATGAAATTTAAACCAGTCTTATTCTTGAGATTAACTCATTAACTTCATTAAGAACTGACACGATACTACTCTAGAGATTCACACAGATGCCCATTTCTACCCCAGCAAGTGTCCAAAAGTTAGAAAGTGATCATTCTAGTCAATCATGTTGTATTCATAACTTCAGTCGCCTCTCCTTGTAGCAGCCACACTTACAGCCAAATTCTTCTTTTTGTTTGCTTCCCCCGGCTGTAAACTCTGGCGCATTGTTCTGGTTGTTCATTTATCACTTCCACCGGCTGTAAATTCTGGTGGAATGTTCTGGTTGTTCATTTATAACTTCCACCGGCTGTAAACTCTGGCACATTGATCTGGCTGTTCATTTATCACTTTCCCCGGCTGTAAACTCTGGCGCATTGTTCTGGCTGTTCATTTATCACTTCCACCGGCTGTAAACTCTGGCGCATTGTTCTGGCTGTTCATTTATCACTTCCACCGGCTGTAAACTCTGGCGCATTGTTCTGGCTGTTCATTTATCACTTAAACTGGCTGTAAACTCTGGCGCATTGTTCTGGCTGTTCATTTATCACTTCCAGACTAATCTTGTCCAAGAACCTGAGTGTTGTGTGCACATCCATTTTACAGATCTAGCATTATTTGTATGCAGACTCTTGGTTTCTTGCCTCCCAGGCAGACGGGCTTCGACAAACAATGTATTGATCGGCACTCACAGAAAGAAGTGGAAAGATAGAAGGACACACTAAACAACATAACAATTGAAAGCTATCAATAGTGACTGTGCCGGGAATCTGTCAGACTATAAAGAATGCCCCCAAATAGTTGACGCTTATGTCGTGCTTGTTGGGGAGGCAGTGGATGTATTCTTGGGGAGTCAGTGAATCTATTCTTGGGGATCCAGTGGGTCTATTCTTGGGGAAGCAGTGGATCTATTCTTGGGGAGCCAGTGGGTCTATTCTTGGGGAGCCAGTGAATCTATTCTTGGGGATCCAGTGGACCTATTCTTGGGGAGGCAGTGGATCTATTCTTGGGGAGCCAGTGGATCTATTCTTGGGGAGCCAGTGGATCTATTCTTGGGGAGCCAGTGGATCTATTCTTGGGGAGCCAGTGGATCTATTCTTGGGGAAGCAGTGGATCTATTCTTGGGGAGCCAGTGGACCTATTCTTGGGGAGCCAGTGGGTCTATTCTTGGGGAGCCAGTGGATCTATTCTCGGGGAGCCAGTGGATCTATTCTTGTAGAGGCAGTGGGTTTATTCTTGGGGAGCCAGTGGATCTATTCTCGGGGAGCCAGTGGATCTATTCTTGTAGAGGCAGTGGGTTTATTCTCAGAGAGCCAGTGGATCTATTTTTGGGGAGCCAGTGGGTCTATTCTCATGGATCCAGTGGATCTATTCTTGGGGAGGCAGTGAATCTATTCTTGGGGAGCCAGTGGATCTATTCTTGGGGAGCCAGTAGATCTATTCTTGGCGAGCCAGTGGATCTATTTTCAGCAAGCCAGTGGATCTATTCTCGGGGAGCCAGTGGATCTATTCTTGGGGAGCCAATGGATCTATTCTTGGGGAGCCAGTGGATCTATTCTTGGGGAGCCGGTGCTTTCCCGAAATGGTAACGCTTAAAAAAAAAAAACCAATAGATAACTTACGGATGGGGCTCCACTGGCACAAATCTCCAGCATGATGTAATCAATAAGCTGAAGCGTGAACAAGCCAGCGTCCAGGCGTCGGAGGTAAAACTCATCTTCCATATCTTCATCCAAGTCTTCGCCGCTATGTTTGAGTCGCTGCGAGCCAGGAGACACGTCAAGAAATCAGACTTAAACATGAATGCAATAAATATCAAACCTATGAGAATATATGTAAACCTTGCCTCAAATGGGGTTTGGAAAATGTCACGGCAAGTAGAGGTGGCTGGCACGATGCGGGTCAAACATGAAATGCCTGGTGCGGCATTGGTGTTTACAAGAAAGTCTTCACTTCCTTCTTTTTTTAATTCGAGAATGTAAACAAGCATCAAGACGGGGAGCATCAGCACCAAGCACATAATTGTACACATAATGTAAGACGTAAAATCTCACAAACATAAAATACAGTTTAACACAATTACATCTGATGGGATGCAAGAGAATGTTTAAAAAAAAAAATACAGCAAAATTTCTTCTTCTTCCTGTTCAGCTGCTGTATAATCTGGAAGAAAGTTATGGTTGTCATTTTACAGATCTGGCTTATCTGTGCGCAGACTGTTGGTTCCTTATCTCTCAGAAAGACACTCCGACCTGGGGGGGGGGGGGGGGGGGTGTACTCAATAAGTGAGCCAAGCACACTACCAACTCAACTTTAGACACATAAAGTAGTGATTGTTTTTGTGTGTGCTGTATTTTTGTTTAATGTGTGAACTAAAGAAGAATATTTAAATGAGCAGAAGAAATGCAGGAAGATGACTAAAATAGAAATAAAGCCATTATGCGCAGAAAAGCTAACAATAATAATTCAAACCCAGGTAAATAATAGGGTTTTATTAATAATTTAAATTAATACATACCAAATAAAAAATTTACTGAGTTGATTGACTAAAAGGAAATATTAACAGAGCAACAATATAATAATGGAGTAGACAGAGGTTGGCATCTGTGGCTTAGGTGTAGCGAATGTGCTCCATAATGCTCGGGTGCTGGGTTCGATCCCAGCTGTGGACGATTTGTCTTGCGTTGGTTTTGACAGTGGTACCAAGAGCTGACTGTTCAGAGAGTAGTGGCAAACTACTGGATGTAAAATTTGCCTTAAAAAAACTACAACATCTTGTCAAGGATATGCAACTAACAGACAAAATGATTTTTTTTTTTAAATATCCAGAAACCATGAGTTGTTAACCCTTTGGCTTGGTATTAAGAATACTGCAACCAGGCAGACATAATGATTAAATTATAAAGTGAGAACAATATTAAACAATGAGGACAATAAAAAGAACATCAAATCAACAGACAAGCCAAACGCACCATTTTCTCCCGCTCGATCTGGTCATCACATTGTCTGACTTTGTCCAGATACTTAAAGTGCAATTCCAACAGTCGCTCCACCTGAAATGATTGATATGTATAACTGATACAGATGACAACGACTGCATTCACAAACATTTCCTTACACTTATTTGTGACAGTGGATATTACAGACACTAAACACAGTTCTATAACTCAAAGAAGCTAAGAATCCAGAACATTCTGCAGTCAATCACATAAATGACAAGGATCTAGTATATTCTGCAGTCGCTCAATCCCACATATGTGTTGTGTGCTAAACTCACTTTGTGGTAGAGGCCAGTGCAAAAGGTCCAGATGGGTAAACTGTGAGACAGGGCTTTCTTGAGATTGACGGCTAACGGCAATCTCCAGGGGATTGCGAAAAACCTCGAGAATTGGTGAGAATGTGAGATTTACCTGTAACCACGGGTGGGAAGAATCTCGGGGTAGTTGAATTAGTTAGTGCCCCTCATTCTGTGTGAGTGTTAGTTGTAATCATGTATATTTTTTTTTATTCTGGAATGTAACGGGGGATATTTTCACCCTGATTAGGAAGGTTGGAGGGAAAGCCCCAAGCTACCAATAATACCAAGAGAAGCCAGATACTCGGATGAACCAAGGTTTTCAAAATAGGGGACGACCAAGAGTTATCACGTGGAGCCAAAGGAGAATGACCACAGGTCGCCACGTGGAACCCAAGAACAACCACGTGTTGCCACGTGGAACAAACACTGGGTATAGAATCAGACCCCAGTCTGGTCAAGTTAGTATGTGTTGACCGTCAGAGCGAGAGGATGTGAGAGTGTTCGTGAGAATGAGAACGTTAAACTGAGTGTTGCGAAAGGAAGACCAGACGACAACATCCATCGAAGTAAAGTCCAGCCAAGCCAAGTTGTGTGAAGCTTGATGCAATGACCGGATCCATCTATGCGGCGATGTGGAAGTGAAGGCGCCGAACTCTGGTCGATGAATGCGTGAGAAGTCAGCGTGTTGGCGTCTGAACAATGTGGTGTGTCTAAGCTGTGAATTAGGACATGCACGGGACAATCGATGTAAGTGATGAGATGTCAGTAAACTTTATCGTACTTTGAAGTCGGTGTCGGCTGGTCCCAGTTATGTCATCTTAAAAATGTGTGCTAAGATCATTCACTAGACACATCATCTCCTAGACAACCAGGTCAAGGTCATCAAATACTTACTGCAAGTAGAAGACAACTTATTGCATGAAGAAATGAGCACAAGCAATGCAGGGAGGTGAAATAAAGCCATTATGCACAGAAATGCTAACAATAATAATGCAAAACCAGTTAAATAATAGGGTATTAATAATAATTTAAAATAAAATATTAGACCCTTCCCCCCAAAAAAAAATCATTTACTGAGCTGATTGAGTGAAAGGCAATATTAACATAGCAACAATAGACATAATAGACATAAGTTGGCATCTGTGGCTTAGGCGCTGTGAACACACTTCGTAATGCTGGGGTGCCAGGTTTCTGCAACCTTCTTACCTTCTCATGATCATTCTCCGTGAACTTTAGCAGTAGTCTCTGCCGTGGAGTTCCCTGGCAGTTGCGGAGAATGGAGGCCAAAATAGAACAGATGTGTTCTGGGATAGATAAAAACCAATTAAAAAAGCATCAAACAAAAGTGGCGATTCAACAAACAGTGGCTAATTTAGTGAAATTATGGGACTATAAATCACATTTGAACAACAACAAAATCCAATCAAAGGTTGGCTGCAACTGATCTTTCACACCCAATCTGTTTCTTGTCTTGGTGGAACACTTTTACTGCTGTTTGTCCATCTCTTAATGTTGTCATCCCACTTGATTTGTTGTCTACCTCTTGACATGTAGTACAGATTAGAACAGTCATCTACTTCTGTGCTGACCCTTAAACTGGCAACAGACAGTGTTGCGGTTTACAGCTTGGCCTTTTGACCTAAAACATCAGATTTCAGCAAAACTAGTCACCTTTAATGATGACATGCATGTTGGGGTCAGGGGGGTCAGGGGTCAGGGGGGATGGGGGTCAGGGGGGATGGGGGTCAGGGGGTCAATTCTCGTTTTTCCACAAGCCATACTGAAAGAACAATTATCCAAAGATATGTGAGGCTTAAAATGAGAACTTTAAAAGTGTCAAAGAAATTACAATAACCATGACATTGCCTTCTGAGCTGTCAATATTGTTCTTGAGGATGTCAAGAGTGCCGAGCACATTACATCACAGCGTTGTTATAATTATAGCCTAAAGATGTCCGCCCAATTTTTGACGCGCACCAAAGAGAAGCAGCGTTCTCTTATCTGTTTTTTTTTTCTTTTATACAAACAAAAATGCCTCTTTTCTCCCATACACAAAGAAAATACAAAAGCAAACCATTTGTGTACCTTCCAGCTCGTCCGGGGAAGGTCCTGCTTTTGCCTGTTTGGGCGTCTTCATGAACAACGGGAACAGACTTCTCAAGCCCAGGATTTCTATAAACTTCTGGCAGTTGTCCTGCCCCTCTGCTCCGGTCATGGCATGGTTTAGCACTTTTATGGCACTGTTGCGGGACATCTTCTTTTCTCTGTGAAACAAAATTAAACAGCAAGTTTTGTCTCATTAATATTTATCCTGTGCATAGTAAAACGGAATGTTTTGGAAACTAAAATACTTTGGCAAAATTAAGTATTGAGGTAACTTTACAACAATAACAACAACAAAAAAACTCAAGGCTTGATCGACAGGAAGGTGGACACAAGATGTTGGAGGCACCTTAAAAACAACAAAAATGAGATAGGGAAATTGGCAAGCGACCATCAAACTTCTTCTGAAAAGGTTAGGTATCCTATTGAGTATCCAAGTTGAAGCTTGTGTTCTTATATATATTATGCAACAAAAAGCTATGCAAAAAGTATCTATCTCTTTAAGTTACAGTTTTGCAACCATTTGCAGGCTGTTACAAAGTTTCATCTTGACTCTTCCTTGCAATGAGCCCAATCTATATCATTTGTCTCTTCTTCTTTCTATATGTATCTGTGTATGTATGTAATGTATGCATGCATGTTTGTGTGTGTAAGTGATTGGGTGAGCGTGTGTATGCGGGTGTATGTATGCACGCACGGGTTTTTGCATGCACTTTACAACTCATGCTTTTGTGTTCTTTTATAATATTCATGCTTTATTAGTAAAATACAACTGCTGTGCGAAAGATGGTTGACTGGAAGGGCCGAATGTAAGACGGGCCTGCGTGCCCAATTTGTGACCCTTTGAAAATAAAGTTCATTCGTTCGTTCCACTTTAGTTACCTCATCAAGGTATCAAGAGAAGATATACAGATTTCCGGTGTGGTCTTTCTTTTGGCATCTTTCCGGACAACAGTGTCTTATTGTGCTATGAGGAGACATGGGACTCCGCCAGTCTGTGGTGATCTCGGTTTTGACTAGCAAGACCCGCCCGCGTTAATAAGTCTTCCACAATTACAGTATAAGATTTCAGGACCGTATTGCCATAATTTCTGTTTACTGTGTTTCTTCTCAGCTCTCATTCTTTCAGCAATCATTTCATCCTTCATTCTCATTCCCTTCCTGGTGTGCCCTCTCCACCCAACACAGTCCATGGCATTTTGTTCCCACAGATCCATCTCAACACATGTAACATTCATGTCCCTCTTGCACACATCTTTATATCGTAGTAGATGTCGTCAATCTGGACATTTCTTGTCCATATGTAATTCACCATGCACTCTTTCTAATGCGTGGCATAAGGATCTTCATTTCCTTGAGCTTGTTCTTGATGCCGTTGCTCCACATTTATATGGTCTTCCCTAGGTTCTGCATTCCTTGATGTCCTCATTCTACATTTATATGGTCTTCCCCAGGTTCTGCATTCCTTGATGTCATCGTTCTACATTTATAAGGTCTTCCCCAGGTTCTGCATTTCTTGATGCCACTGTTCTACATTTATATGGTCTTCCCCTGGTTCTGCATTCTTTGTATTCATTCAGCGTGGCTCTCTACGGCAACTGGTACCAGGCCATTCTTATCATATGACCAGATCCCCTCATGTGAGTTCCGGAGCGCTATTTTAAAGGTCTCCATACAAATAAGTCAGGTGATTTTCGGAGCTCTATTTTGAAGGTCTCCATACAAATAAGCCAGATCTGTAAAACGGATGCACACACAAAACTCAAGTTCTGGATCAAGACCAAAGTCCAGAAGTGGACAAACAACCAAAACTGTCCATCAGAGTTTACAGCCTGTGAACGTTAAGAAGAAGAAGAAGACAGCTAGATCAACTTATCTGCTCCTCTTAAATGAAATGAATGACTGGTTTCTGGCCCAACCTTTTTCTGATTTCTTGAACGTGTGTGTCTCCAGTAGCTCTCCTAAGACATCTGACCCGTGTAACAATCCTCAGTTTAAATGTCTATCAAATAATCAAGTGTATTTGTAATCATGAACAAGTGCATTTGCTCACAGATCTGTTCAACAACTTGAAGGTTCACAGATCTGTTCAACAACTTGAAGGCTCACAGATCTGTTCAACAACTTGAAGGTTCACAGTTCTGTTCAACAACTTGAAGGTTTACAGTTCTGTTCAACAACTTGAAGGTTCACAGATCTGTTCAACAACTTGAAGGTTCACAGATCTGTTCAACAACTTGAAGGTTCACAGATCTGTTCAACAACTTGAAGGCTCACAGATCTGTTCAACAACTTGAAGGCTCACAGATCTGTTCAACAACTTGAAGGCTCACAGATCTGTTCAACAACTTGAAGGCTCACAGATCTGTTCAACAACTTGAGAAAAGAAGACTGTACACTTTACCTCAGCATCAAGTTCATCAACTGAAGTCCTTCACCCCTCAAGAAACGGGCCCTATTGGGGCCGTGGGCCAAGGATGAACACATACAGTTGAAGAGGTTCTCCATCAGTTCTGTCTCGTCTTTACTGCTGGGGTCGTGCTTTTTATAGATCTGAAATAAGTGCACAGGGCAGTCTGGCAAATCAGAAACAGAAAATGTGCAATTGTGGTCAACTAAAGTACCAGGGCAGTAGGTTTACTGCCAGGAGGGAGAGGGGGAGTGGTTGTAATTGTGGTAAACTAAAGTACCAGGGCAGTAGGTTTATTGCCAGGAGGGAGCGGGGGAGTGGTTGTAATTGTGGTAAACTAAAGTACCAGGGCAGTAGGTTTATTGCCAGGAGGGAGAGGGGGAGTGGTTGTAATTGTGGTCAACTAAAGTACCAGGGCAGTAGGTTTATTGCCAGGAGGGAGAGTGGTTGTAATTGTGGTCAACTAAAGTACCAGGGCAGTAGATTTATTGCTAGGAGGGTGAGGGGGAGTGGTTGTAATTGTGGTCAACTAAAGTACCAGGGCAGTAGGTTTATTGCCAAGAGGGAGAGGGAGAGAGGTTGTAATTGTGGTAAACTGTTGTACCAGGGCAGTAGGTTTATTGCCAGGAGGGAGAGAGGGAGCGATTGTAATTGTGGTAAACTGTTATACTAGGTTTATTGCCAGGAGGAGAGTGCTTGTAATTGTGCACATCTTTCCTATTTCCTCTGTTGAGCTTTCTAGTCACATTTTTCTTTTCTTTAGCCCACCTGGAAAAATATGTTGATGTCTTTGGCTTAGGAGTTGTAATCTGAGATACCCAGTTTGATTCCAAATGTGGATAATTAGTCAGCAGACCGCTTTTCATTAATTTCAACTGTATCAAGAGCCCACTGTTGAGAAAGCAATGGCAAACTACTGAACAAAGTTTCCTAGTAAAATCACAGACAGTGAACAATTGCAACATCCTCTAAAGCAGTGTTCTTAAGCCGGTTGATCACGAACAAATTTTATTTTTGAAGAGTTAAGAATGTGGCAAGCAAGCCGTCTACCTTTCTGCTCTACTATTCTCCCTCCTTTCAGACATCATTTCATTCACACATCAAGTAACAGTAAACATTATCAACAGCATCAAAATATTTAATACAATCACTGAAATGTGCACATTTCTAATTACAGTAAACTGTCAGTCAAGTAAAAGTAAAGATCCCTATTTTATGCCTCTGGCACATCAGGTATATGGAAAGAGCTCCCCATATTTTTACAGACCAATCGGCACTAGTTGGGTACTGTGGTCAGTATTACGCCGGCCGTCTTTACTTCCCCAGGACATCCATTCTAGTACCCATTTTAGGCTGGGTCGACCTGAAACACTGCTCTAAAGGATACCCAACAAACTTTTTTTATTTTTTATACTGGAAAATTCTAGAAATGCAAACTCACGGCCAACTGTTGCAGTAGAATGTCAGTGCCCTCAAGATCACCCAGCAGCTGCCGGTTTTCTGTGAAAGGTTAAAATTATTTAATATTTAAGTGATGGTGCTCAAGGGAGCTGGTAACCTCTACCCAGCTTCTCCCTCTCAAACTCACATCCCTCCCCTCCACACACAAATCTGATGAATCAATATTTGTCAACTAATGTTTTGGAGACATGTCAGTCCGTTAATGAGCCCTGTTTGCATCCTGTTCAACCTTTGTCTGTTAAAAAAGACAATATAATCATCAACAAGTGTCTTGCTGACCGGTAGAAGGATCATTGTCAACATTCTGCCATCTCTAACAGCATCTATCAGTTCACGCACCTTTCAACATTCTGCCATCTCTAACAGCATCTATCAGTTCATGCACCTTTCAACATTCTGCCATCTCTAACAGCATCTATCAGTTCATGCACCTTTCAACATTCTGCCATCTCTAACAGCATTTATCAGTTCACGCACCTTTCAACATTCTGCCATCTCTAACAGCATTTATCAGTTCATGCACCTTTCAACATTCTGCCATCTCTAACAGCATCTATCAGTTCACGCAACTCCCCATGTGGTTTCTGGTGCCCCCATAAAAGTTGTCTAATCCGGGTGTTACCTTTTAAGTCGGAGTGTATCTGCCTTAGAGGCAAGGAACCAACACTCTGCACATAAATAATTCTGGATTATACTGACAGACAAAGAATGAAATGCTTCAGCTATCTAGTGAGAATGCAGCCGGGCCAAACTGCATATGATACTTTTTACAGCAGAATATCTGGGAGGAAGGTGAGAGGAAGACCAAGAAAGTGATGGATAAATGATGTAACCAAAACCAGCAAAAGGATAAACAAATGCATCACCCAAGCCACCCGAGAAATGCAAGACAAATACACAAAACCATAACATCGAGCTATAACCCTGTATCAGTGGGACGAGAACAGAAGAAGAGGCCAGATCTGTAAAATGAATGTGGATGCAACAATCAAGTTCTGGAACAAGTCCAGCAGTAGCTGAACAAGCAGGACTTTGTGCTGGAGTTTACAGCTGGTGAACATGAAGGAGACGTGGAGTGTTTATGTACCGACAGTTTTCCACATAATGACAAAAGGTTGCTACCATTTTCTGTCCCAAACACTGTACAGTGTGTGATCAACTATAATCTGTGTGTATCAAACAATGAAACGTGTGTGTGTATATATTTTACATTTGGTTTCAGCATGCTACAGAAATCTGGCTAGATAAGCTAACACAGGTAAAGTTGGGAGATGTAAACCAGCCTCACTGCACACAGTTATAAACCATAAGTGCTCTGCCACCAGTACGGTGGCACATCATCCTCCCCTCCACACCCCAGAAGCCCCTTTCATCGACATAGATTTTCTAACCCACGAGCAGTAGCAGACGTCATCATAGGTGACAGATAAGCTAACACACAGGAAAGCAAATGTTGTCTCTTTGAAATTAATACAATCATGCTCTTTTCATTGTAGCTATTATCTCCTTAAGTATTTAAAGTTTTCTAGTAATGAGAGAGTTAAGAATAGTCTCGTGACAAATATCTCACAAAGTCACTTCACATCCATAATAAGCAAGGTTCACAAAATAAGCCTTCCTTTTTTCTTTAATCTGCATGACTGGAAATAATCCAACCTGGCAGTTTGCTGGTGAGTTCAGTCGTTAGGCTTACCCGCAGTATCTTGAAGCAGAATGGCCAGGATTTCACTGCAGTATAACTTGTTCTGATCAAATGGTCGCTTCATCTGATGATCAAAAAAAGAAGTCTCAGTTGAGAGAGAAGAAGACATTGTATTAATAAAGGCAGTTAAGGATGTTGGCACTTTGTTCCTTATATGTTCCGTCCCCTTTTCAGTAGCCAATGAAGAGTTGATATGCTAACAGTACAGTACAACCTGATTAAAAGTCAGCCTGTGTGTCCCCCTCATAATGAATAACTTCCAGAACATCTACTCAACCCCCCCCCCCCCCTGTTGAATCAAGTCTTTCAGTGTACAGATTCTCTGTCTATTCTATTGCACTCTCCATCTGATCGCACAAAACCTTCACCACATCCACTTTATGATCAAGTAGCTCACAGCCCAGAGAAGCGACAGCAGCTAATCTATCAGCTTGTTTGTTACCTCACACACCTGAACATCTTGGAGAGAAAAATACATGACATGCAACTGGTTTGGGTCTTATCAAGTGAGGCAAGCCATTCTATATGTAGGACGCCAGTTTCAATTTTCTGAAGCAAGCTCTGTGAGACATTAAAGTGTGCAACATGCATGTATGTGACAACCCCCCACCTCTGTTTTGTGAGAATACCTACTATCTGATTCACTCACTAACCATAAATCACAGGGAGTACAACACTGCAATACCCTGATATTGAAAGTATACTAAAATACGTGAACAATTCAGCACTGATTTACGCAAGCGCTTCAGTGATAAACAAAATCAACAGATAAATAACATGCCATTACCCTGATTCTTTTCAACAGCCACTGCATGAGTCCCTGCTGGGCAGCATCTGCACACATGTCTGGCTTAAAGTCTGCTAGATTCTCTATGATCGCTGAAATCCAAATACAAGAGCATATGTTATGATAACTTTCATTACTCCTTTACTGCAAAGATAAACGACTGAACGTAAAATTTGCCTAGAAAAGCTGATTTGGGTAAAGTGTAATATTGTGTGAAGGGACAGTGGTATGAGAGAACTTCTGTGAGTTCACAGGGAATAGTCAACACTGGCTTGATGTTGACCAGTAAGAAGGGTAGAGCCACGAGAAAGTGGACACGTGGCTTACGGTGTGGGGGCTGAAAGCATGGCTAACGAGATAAACGGAGAGAGTGTGAATTACGTGACAGCGTCATTCTCAGGTAACATCAGCCACCCACATAAGCGTGATCCTCAAGAACGCCCACATGAGCGTGAGTCTCGAGAACACCCACAGGATCATGATTCCTGAGAACGCCCATACGAGCGTGCCTCTCGTGTAAACATCATCCACCCACTTGAGTTCGACGGGGATAAATTGTCCATACTGTTATGGACAGATTGACTCACCCATACTGTTATAGACAGATTGACTCACCCATACTGTTATAGACAGATTGACTCACCCATACTGTTATGGACAGATTGACTCACCCATACTGTTATGGACAGACTGACTCACCCATACTGTTATGGACAGATTGACTCACCCATACTGTTATAGACAGATTGACTCACCCATACTGTTATGGACAGATTGACTCACCCATACTGTTATGGACATATTGACTCACCTATACTGTTATGGACAGACTGACTCACCTATACTGTTATGGACAAATTGACTCACCCATACTGTTATGGACAGATTGACTCACCTATACTGTTATGGACAGATTGACTCACCCATACTGTTATGGACAGATTGACTCACCCATACTGTTATAGACAGATTGACTCACCCATACTGTTATGGACAGATTGACTCACCCATACTGTTATGGACAGATTGACTCACCCATACTGTTATGGACAGATTGACTCACCCATACTGTTATGGACAGATTGACTCACCCATACTGTTATGGACAGACTGACTCACCCATACTGTTATGGACAGATTGACTCACCCATACTGTTATGGACAGATTGACTCACCCATACTGTTATGGACAGATTGACTCACCCATACTGTTATGGACAGATTGACTCACCCATACTGTTATGGACAGATTGACTCACCCATACTGTTATGGACTGATTGACTCACCCATACTGTTATGGACTCCCTCAAACTCTTCCTTGACGTTTTCATCCAGTCTGTCCAGGTTGTTGACCAATACTGCCACCACTTGACCGTCCAGCTGAAAAAATGTAAACTTTTTCTTTAAATGGACAATAAATGCACCACCTACACTGCACACTGTATATACAAGATGTTAAGAGGGTTGTGGCCAGACAAGAGCGCTTCGCAGGAAGCCAAAGAAGAATAAGAAACCAACACAGAACTGGTGCTGTGAGCCGCTACAAGCTGCTGGATTGACTGAGGAGGGGATCCGAGCACTTATGGACTGTATGGTTCGATGTGCAATGAAGATAATCTGTCGACTAACTAACACTGTGTTTATGGAATAATGAGGAAGGGAGTAAGGCTACTAACCAAAGCATCCACCAATACACCAGCTGTGTCTTCATTTTCATTGAGGATATCAGGATCCGTTAGCTCCTGTAAAAGGTCGATAATGGCGATGGAGATATCTGGAACGATAAAATATGCAATCAACTGTAATGTTTAACTATAACAGGAAAACAATCAGTGATAATAACAAATGGCAATAACAGTGAATGTCTTCAATGTGCGAGTCCCTAAGCCCCACAGGGGGGGGGGAACAAGCAAAGGTCTACTGCTTCCTAATAAGCATGCAAGTCATTTTTTTCAAGTCTGTGCATTTGCCTGAGAGTCAAGGAACCAACTATCTGCATACAAATAAGCCAGCTGTGTAAAATGTATGTGCACGCAAAACTCAAAATTCTGAAACAAGACTTAGGGAGTGGACAACCAGAACTTGCAGCTGGTGTTTACAGCTGGTGAATGCAAAGAAGAAGAAGAAGAAGAAGATGAACCCTAACTGTTCCAGTTATACAGGAAACTACATTTATCTCCTGTTAGCAATGCTTTAGACATAAGAGGTCGGACAGAAGAAGATGAAGACTTTAACACCTTCTCTGCGTAAGTTGTATTCTTCAGCTCTATAATATTACAAAACTGTTGCTCTAGGAGAGAGCTGTTCAACTAAGTTTACTCAGGAGCCTTCTTCTTCTCTTCCACCTTGTACCTCAGCAAAAGTGTCGGGGGGAGATGCAACATTCATTGACAAGCTCTGTCAAGAGCACTATTAAGACTGATGTTCATTTCTGTAAGGTTCTGAATGCCTTCACTCCATATTTTCTGAGGTCTTCCACTCTATACCCGTTGTACTCAGGGGTCAGAATTGTGAAAATGAGGATTGCCATGGGCTAGAGGCTTGAGCCCGAAAATAGAAAGATTATGAATCTAGTACCGCTGTCATTTATCTACGAGCCACATTAAGGGCCTCTACAGGCTGCAGTTGAATAGCCCGGCTCTTCTTCTTCAGTGTTCCCAGTCCTTGAGGTTCACTGCTGGAGATATCACCCACCTCCAATCATCCCTGGACATTATCTCCCCATCGTCTTCTTGGTCTGCCTCGTGGACTACGATCATTCATCTCCCTTGTGGATACAGTTTTTACCTCTCTGTCACCTTACATTCGTTCAATATACCCCAACCATTTCAGTCTATTAGCTCTCATAATGCCAATGATCAGTGGTGGTTTAAACAGATTATGAATTCTGTTTTTGCTTCTCACTATCCATTGCCCCCTGTTTACATCCTGCTAGGTCCAAAGATTAACCGTAAGACTGTATTCAAAAGCAGGTAATATGCCTGTATCTCTTTTAGCTGTGCTCCAAGTTTCAGAGCCATATAAAACAACTGGTCTTATCAACATTTTAAATATTCTGATCATGCTCTTGCGAGATAGAGACTTGGACTTTAGCAGATGTTGAAGGGCATAGTATCCCTGCTCTAGGATATAAAAATGTTAGCAGAGACATTGTTGAATTCAAAACTACCTAGGAGTGAAAGAGTTAAAGACATGATATCCCCAGAAGGAGGCCCAGCGACCCACCTGTGTTGTCATGGCTGACCAGCTGTAGAAGGGACTGCACACATCGAAGGTCTACCAGGATCTGGTAGTACTCGGGGACGGTGGCCATGACATGCATCTCATGAATGATTTCGTTCAATTCAATCTCCGACTCCATGAACCTGCAATCACAGATGTTGCACCATTAGGCAGCTAGTCATAAATAGCACACTGACATTTTTACACCCCCCCCCCCCCATGTTGAATTAAGAATCAACAGCACACAATTCAGGACACTCCCATAAGTGCTCCATCCCCATCTTCAGTAGCAAGCAAAGAGTTCCAATTCCGATGGTACTATTAACTGATTGTATATCCATCTTGCCTTTCCCTTCAGCGTTGAGTGTCGGCCAGATCCCCTGGTAACTCCCTGCAGCACTATTCTCCTCAGACCGCAATGATCTATTTGTGTCTCCTCACTGTTCACTGGCTCCCAGAGGGCCCTCACAACATCTAGCTTGTCTTACATCTACCTGTGTCTCCTCACTGGCTCCCAGAGAGCCCTTACAACATCCAGCTTGTCTTACATCTACCTGTGTCTCCTCACTTGCTCCCAGAGGGCCCTCACAACATCCAGCTTGTCTTACATCTACCTGTGTCTCCTCACTGGCTCCCAGAGGGCCCTCACAACATCCAGCTTGTCTTACATCTACCTGTGTCTCCTCACTGGCTCCCAGAGGGCCCTCACAACATCCAGCTTGTCTTACATCAGTTCACCACCGTTACACAAACCTACAATATCACAAGTACAAACGAGAATACACAAAATTACTTAGCTAATGTTTAGTAATGGTTATATCAAAGAAGAAGATAACTCCACGTTGTGATATCTCAATTAAAGGAAAAAGACTTATCCTAGTAAATAAATTCAAATATCTGAGAACAATCATATCATCAGATGAAAAATAGTGTGACAGATTAAAAGCAGAACAGGTCAAGGGAAAGCTGCATTTCAGAAAATGAAAAATATCTTATAAATATAATATCAATAAATCACTCTCATTTAATGTCAGAAAGAGGGTGCTAAAATGTTACACAGAACCTGTTCTGCTGTATGGCAGCGAATCTTAGAATGTCAGTGAACAAATTAGGAAGAATTTGGAAGCAACAGAGATGTGGTTTTTGAGACCAATGTTACGAATACCTTAGATGGCCAGAGTAACTAACAACAATTGCTTGAAGGAAGGTAATGAAAGTATATCTCTATATACAACAATAAGAAAGAGACAAACACTGTTCTTTGGCCACATAATGAGAAGAGAGACATTGGAGAACATTGTGACAACTGGAGAGATCAGTGGGAAAAGGGTTAGAGGCAGACCAAGAAAGATGATGCTGGATGGGCTGAAAAGATGGCATGGAGGGATATCACCAAGAGAGCTGTTCCAGGCAACCAGGGATCCTGATCTGTGGAGTTGCATGAGCGCCTACGCCGGTTGGCAGGGCATATGCTTGCGGATGATTATGACGATGTATCTCGGATAGAAATCACATTGATGTCTGGCCAGTAGAATATCAAACATGTGTGTGACCAAACTCCTAAATATTTCATCAGCAGCTAAACGTTTAGGAATATACCGAGGAGAACCAATCATTGATGGACTGAAGAGTTCGATGTGCAGTAAAGATGTCAGGTCAACTGAGTACGTGTATATAAACAAATCTAACAATAACCCACTTCTCTGGCAAATCTGGATATTTGATCCGCAGCTCTTGGTTCTTGTACACTCGTTTTTCAAACTGCAGAAGCAGCTTCTTGAAACCGGTTTCATCCATAGCTTCAGCCTGCGAACAAAGTGTACAACACAACACTTGCCATTAATAACTATCTGCTTTTTTCTCAGGCAAATTCTGTCTGTCTCTGTCTGGGTTAAAATGGATGACTAAAGGATGCTGTCTTTCTCTAAACGAGATAATAAATATTCAGCCTTTGCATCAGGTGAACTTCACCTTCTACTATAAAGACAAAATATCTAAGAACACTTCACAGATGATCAAAGAAAGAACAAAGCAATTATATAACTTTCTCCCTGGAATAAATTTACAATAACAAATGACATATCTCCTAACATCTACCATCTCTCTCATACCTATACTACACTAAGAATAAGAAAAACATTGACATCCTTTTTGTTCTGAACATCAAGGAGAACTGGCCTGTAAACCTCATCCTCTTCCGAAAGCTGAGGTATGTGGGACACATTAAGCATCATTAGGGCCTAGAGAGATGATGGAGGTGCAGTTCCTGGAAGAGCAGGCAGGTCTTTGTGGCAGTGGATATACGACACTAGAGAGAACGGTGATGGAGGTGTAGTTTCTGGAAGAGCAGGCAGGTCTCTGTGGCGGTGGATATAAGACACTAGAGAGAACGGTGATGGAGGTGCAGTTTCTGGAAGAGCAGGCAGATCTCTGTGGTGGTGGATATAAGACAGTGAAGAGGCGTTGGTTACAGAAGCACACATAGCTGAAGAGTTGGCCAAGGAAAGAGAGAGACATACAGGCATGCGGCCAATGAAGCACACAGGGCTGAAGAGTTGGCCAAGGAAAGAGAGAGACTTACAGGCGTGCGGCCAAGGAGCTGTGGATATATGATAATCTATCCGACAAACGGACACTCTAATGGGGAATAAATGGACTGAAGAATGAGGTCGCTGAAAGGACATCTGTTGCGCGCTGATTTGGGTTAAGTGTGATATTGTGGGAAGGGACAATGGTATGCCTGTACTTCCTGTAAGTTCACGAGGAAAGAGTGTCAATATGATCCGAGTATTAAGAGGAGACCAGTGAAAACGTCTATTCATGAACAAGGCGTGCGTGCACGAGAGAAAGGGGACGCGTAGGATTCTGTGTGGTGGGCTGAAAGCGTGGATAACGAGATAAAGTGTGAATTAAGTGACAGCGTGATTCTCGGGTAACATCAGCCACCCACATAAGCGTGATCCCCGAGAACACCCACAGGATCATGATTCACGAGAACGCCCACACAAGCGTGCCTCTCGTGTAATTACCATCCACCTACACGGATTCGACATATATAAATTGGGCTGCGTAGACAGTCCAGAGAGTGAGCTGTGGCCTGAAGGCTAAAGCCCCTCGGGGGCATTCAAGATAGAGCGAGAAGCGAGAAGAGAGAGAAAACGAGAGTCAGAGACCAAGTCAGGGTCCAGGTAATCTCTCGAGTCTAACAGACAAACATACCATACGACTATCGGGCATTTAAGTCCGAGTAAGTGTCGAGATTGCGGTACATGTCAAAAGTATGAGAGGACTTATGGTAGAAGTCCTGTCGGTCATTGGAGTCTAACCGACTAGAATACCGTACGACTATCAGGCATTTAGGTCTGAGTAAGTGTCGGGATTGCGGTATGGAAAATATGGTCCCGCTGGCAAAGTAAGTCCAGGGGACGGGAAGACCAGTAGTGCTTGGTTTCGGAGTACGGCAAGAGAAGTCCGTCTCCAGTCAGCCGTGTTGTATGCTGAACTAATATCAAGGTCCAGTGAATGGGAGAAGTCGTCCTGTTCAGCTATACGACGCGTCCAGAGAGTGGGACGCCGTCATCCTGGTATTTGCAGTAGTCCAGGAGAGGGCACTACACATTGAGAGATAGAGAGCTGTGAGGACAAATGAACGATGTGCGAATGTCAGCTGTGATCAATAACTACGTCTCTGCATTTGTGTCATGTATCCTGTTAAATAAACTTGTATGACGGTGTCATCGTCGTCGAGTTGTCTTGTTAAGAAAGGAAGCTGAAGAGTACCTGCTAGACACTTGGTAGTGTGCTGACTCAATTTAGCACACAACAACATCCTAAGATGAATGTTGTTGAGAAAGGCCAAGGGTGCTGGATGATTCCATCCCTGGTGTAAAAGGTTTGCAGGGGATAGAAGGGAATGAAGGACTAGACTGCGAGCCCTATGTGGCATACAACAGCACAAGAGGATGACAATGATAGTCTATCTACACAGACTAAAGAACGAACAAACTATTTTTAAAGGGTTGCAAATTGGGCACACAGGCCTGTCTTACATTAGGCCCTTCCAAACATTCATCTCTCACACAGCAATTGTAATTTATCAATAATGCATGGGGGGGGGGGGGGGGGGGGGGGGGGGGGGGGGGGGAAGAAGAATGGATGGTGAATGCATGAGTACATACGCCAACTTACACATTCACTCACTTACACACACATATGCATACATACATACTACACAACTACTAATATGGACAACACTCGCATATATACCCACACATATAATTACATAGATAGATACTTACATATCATACGGATACATTCATACATACATACTACACAACCACTCATATGGATAACACTCGCATATATACCCACACATATAATTACATAGATAGATACTTACATATCATACGGATACATTCATACATACATACTACACAACTACTAATATGGACAACACTCGCATATATACCCACACATATAATTACATAGATAGATACTTACATATCATACGGATACATTCATGCATACATACTACACAACTACTAATATGGACAACACTCGCATATATACCCACACATATAATTACATACATAGATACTTACATATCATACGGATACACTCATACACAAACATGCATCAGAGAGTAGGCCAAGCGGGTTACTCAGACTACTACCACCCCCATGTGGGTTCCGGGGCCGCAGTGAGGGGAAAACAGGGCCGCAGTGAGGGGAAGACGGGGCCGCAGTGAGGGGAAGACGGGGCCGTAGTGAGGCGGAGACGGGGCCGTAGTGAGGGAAAGACGGGGCCGCAGTGAGGGAAAGACGGTGCTGCAGTGAGGGAAACACGCGGCCGCAGTGAGGGGAAGACGGGGCCGCAGTGAGGGAAAGACGGGGCCGCAGTGAGGGGAAGAGAAGAACAGACTCACTGTCCCCATAACAAGCAGATCGTAAACGGTGACTAAGTAGCGGTTTTTCTTGTGAAGTCAAGAGTGCTTCTGCCTGGTAGTTGAATAACCAACAGTCTACATAAAAATAAGCCAGAATTGTTGAATTAAGAATCAACATCACAGCACTCAGGACACTCACATAAGTGCTCAGTCCCCATCTTCAGCATCAACAAGAGTTCCAATTTGGATTGTACCAGTAACTGATTGTACATCCATCTTATCCTTACCCTGAGTGTTGAGTGTCGGCCAGATGCCCTGGTAACTCCTCGCAACACCATTCTTCTCAGACCATAATGATCTTTCTACATCTCTGCACTGTTCAATAAGGGCCCTCTCAATATCTAGCTTACCATACATCAATTCACCACCAAGTGGTGAACAGCCAGCTATTCTATCTGCCTGCTCACTTCCCTAACACACCGGCATGACCTGGAGAAAATATCCAAAAGATGCTAACTACCCGGGACCTCTGAAGTGATGCTTACCCCTCTGCCCGAAGCATGCCTGTTTTCACCTTTCTCAACATGCTCTGTGAGTCAGTTACAAATACGGTATCCAGAATTGTAAAATGGATATGCATGCAAAACTCAAGTTCTGAAATTTGACAAAGTCCAGAAGTAGACAAACAACCACAGAACTTTCTGCTGGAGTTAACAGCTGGTGAGCTTGAATGGAAGACTGTTAGAACCAAATTGTTCTGATGTATGTATCTCAATGCCTGGACGACTCATCTCAAACTTGTTTCTAGAACAGGCTTCACTTAATCTTCTCCTGTGGTTCAATGACTCATCTTGGACATTACCAAATGCTAACCCATACAAAATGAACACTGGTGACATTAGATGGCTGACCAAATCTACCAACAACCATCATAGAGAGAGAAAGTGAGAAATGACACTATCAGACAGACTGTGGGAACAACACCATGTACATAATTCATGTAGAGGCAGAAGATCAAATGATATGGTCATCTTTTTAGAATGCAGGCAGAACAGCTACCAACACATGCACTACTACACTACAAGAGAACTAATGTGAAAGCAAGAGGTTGCTCTAGGAGAAGATGGATTGATGGCATTAAAGACCTACATCAAGAGGGAATGACAACTGTCATTGCTACCCATCAAGCAAACTGTTGCTGTCCATGATCCCAGACATCCTTCACCATGTCCGCTTTATCATAAAGTAGCTCATCGCCCAGATGAGTAGCAGCAACTAATCTAGTTACTTCGTTACCTCCCATACATGTACATCATGGATACAACTGATATGAGTAAGCATATAACAAAACATTTAAAGAATCAACATGAGCAAGCATACCAGTTTTATACATAACGAATGAGATGATGACAAAAGGCTTACATTAGGTTCTGCCTCAATCATCTGGCGAATTCGTTCTTTTTCATCTTCTGTCATTCGATCACTGCCGTACTCTGACGAACGAACATTTTCGGTGTCTGTACGCCTTTTCTTCTTCCTACTTTCATCTTCATTATCATCTCTTGGTTTCTTAGTTTTTAGGTCAAAGGTCGGCTTCTCGGGCTGGTGAATTTTGGAAAAAACCAGTTTAACCAAAATTAACAATAAAGATATGCTCTGTAAACAAAGGAACTCAAGTGAGGCGAAGAAATCAGATAAATGTTTGGACAGCCGCTGGTATCAAATGTGATCAGAAAGGTGGTAGACAGAGGATCATAAAACAGGCACTGCAATAGGAAACTAATTATAAAATAACTACAGGCACTAACTGTATAATAAGAGTCGAAGGCGTTATTTTAGGACATGTATGGTACTAGGATAACATGAGATGGAAGTTGTATCACAGAGACAAAGAACAGAACACAACAGGCTAAAACTGCACTTTATAAAATAAAGAACCTTCTGTCAATAAATCCAAGACAGTGAAGGTTAGAAAAAAAGAACTCCAGCATTCTATTCAGAGCCAGTTACAGCTGTGAAACCTGGACAATTATTAAACAAGCCAAACAATTTCTTGAAGCCTCAGTGATGTGATTTTACAGAAGAATTTTTAGAACTCCTTGGACAGTTATAAAGAGCAATCCAAGTGTTTTGAAAGAGGTGAAGGCTCAAAAACAACTTATCACAAACATCAGAAAGAGACAGTCAACATTTTTGGTCATGTTATGAGAAGGAAACTGGAACATGTTGTGGCTACTGGCCAGGAAAGATCTATGGAAAGAGAGACAGAGGAAGACAACATGAGAAGATTCTTGACAGCCTTTCGTCAGGGCATGGAGGGGTGTAAACTTCACTGATACATATAGACCACCCACGCTAGTCAGCCAGGCACTTGATGATGATAAATGGATTGAGGTAACGGGGACGTCCAAAAGAAAGCCTAAAACAAATGTTCTTGAGATGCAATAACATCAAAAGGATTGCATAAGGTAGAATGGAATGGAGGACAATACTGTAAGCCTTATGTGATGTTTACTGGCCTGATGGGATTATGGTAAAGATAACAAAGCCCACAATTGGCATCGCAGCACTCAGATATTTCTACAGGTGCTCAGTCTTCAGCACTAAGCTAAGAGTTCAACTCTTTGAGTCCCAAAGAATGCACCAGGTGATAGGTTATAACCCAGTGGCCTAAATCGGCGCATGACGAGTGACGATTTTTAATTTACTGGCCAGTATAACAACGCAAACTCAAGAGGGGCTTTCATAGCACTAGGGAATTTGTGGAGGTCAAAAGAAATTAAAAGAAATACTAAACTAAAAATTTTTAATTCTAATGTCAAATCAGTACTATTGTATGGGGCGGAAACATGGAGAACAACGAAGGCAATTACTAATAAATTACAGACATTCATTAACTGGTGCCTGCGCAGAATAGAGGGAATAAAATGGTATGATAGAATAACTAATGTAGAACTTTGGGAGAGAACTAAACAGGCTCCAGTGGATCAGGAGGTGAGGAAAAGACGCTGGCGTTGGATAGGGCACACACTGAGAAAACAGGAGAACAGCATAACTAGAATGTCTTTGCATTGGAACCCACAGGGGCATAGGAATAAAGGAAGGCCAAAAAACACATGGAGAAGAGAGCTGGAGAATGAGGTTAGAAAGATTGGGAGGACATGGGGAGAGCTCCATGTAATGGCGAAGGATAGAACGACTTGGCGTGAGTTGGTTGAGGGCCTATGCTCCATTGGCGGATAAAAAGGCAGAAGAAGATAACAACGCAAACTGACAGTTTTTAATGGTATTTCCTCTTCTGTGTGTTTGCTGTGACATGTGATGACCATTTGGGATATTCAAAAACGTTTTAAGTTATAAAATGCAGCATTTTTGTTAGCTTTATTGAGTAAGTGTCTGTGTATAAAATCAATATGACCTCCGAGCTGATTTCTTCATGCATGCCAAAAGGATTTATGACTTTAGAAGCCTCATATTTAAATAAAACACTTGTTTATCAGATTCATCTGAAAGCTAGACAAAGTAAGTTACGAAGTGGACTTGTTTCAGTCATTGACAGTCAAACTTTACTGAGGGATAGCTCTGATATATACCTCACTTAAAGCCTTCAATGATAACAAAGTCAGCTGGTACAAAGAGAATAAATATTAGTCAACAAAGCAATATTCTTCAGTGTTAATTAGATCTAGCATGATTCTCTTATTGTTTGGGAATTATAGCTGATAACATTATTGTTTGGGAATTATAGCTGATAACATTATTGTTTGGGAATTATAGCTGATATAGCTGATAACATTATTGTTTGGGAATTATAGCTGATAACATTATTGTTTGGGAATTATAGCTGATAACATTATTGTTTGGGAATTATAGCTGATAACATTATTGTTTGGGAATTATAGCTGATAACATTATTGTTTGGGAATTATAGCTGATAACATTATTGTTTGGGAATTATAGCTGATAACATTATTGTTTGGGAATTATAGCTGATAACATTATGGACAAACTGAGTGTTAAATAAAGTTTGTTTTCCTGTGAAAATACCAACTGCTTTTGGAAGTAATTTTTCTGTACCCAAAAAATAAGGTGCTCTGTTATAATGTTCTAAAATTTACTCTGGACAGAGATCTAATGGACAGACTGTGTTTATATTTTTTTTTTATACATTACTAAGTGCTTCATGTTCATTTTCAATTTATTTTGGATATATTTTATCGAGTTTCCCTTGAGTGCCATGGTGGTGTGTGGAAAAATTATTATGTCTTTTTACTAATTTCTCTTAACATACCATATGTTTATTAACTAATAAAAAGGTGAAGGTAAAGTTGGGATAATTAACAATGTATTTTTGTAGCAGTATTCTAATACTATTCGCCAGCAATCCCTGGTCACTTTCATGTATAATGTGTGTATGTTGCGCAGCAGCTGAATTAGTATGATCTGTTTTTATGTGTAACACTTGGGAAATTATAAAATTGCATTACCACCACTAGGGCCTCTGATACTGAACCCTGTGGGACTCTAAGAGTTAAACACTAACGGTGCCAGTTTCAGCCTGATATGTGTTTATCTTGTCATTCCTTAAGTGTGTTTATCTTGTCATTCCTTGAGTGTGTTTATCTTGTCATTCCTTGAGTGTGTTTATCTTGTCCTTCCTTGAGTGTGTTTATCTTGTCCTTCCTTGAGTGTGTTTATCTTGTCCTTCCTTGAGTGTGTTTATCTTGTCCTTCCTTGAGTGTGTTTATGTTGTCCTTCCTTGAGTGTGTTTATCTTGTCATTCCTTGAGTGTGTTTATCTTGTCCTTCCTTGAGTGTGTTTATCTTGTCCTTACTTGTGTGTGTGTTATCTTGTCATTCCTTGAGTGTGTTTATCTTGTCCTTCCTTGAGTGTGTTTATCTTGTCCTCCTTGAGTGTGTTTATATCTTGTCCTTCCTTGAGTGTGTTTTATCTTGTCATTGCCTTGAGTGTGTTTATCTTGTCATTCCTTGAGTGTGTTTATCTTGTCCTTCCTTGAGTGTGTTTATCTTGTCCTTCCTTGAGTGTGTTTATCTTGTCCTTCCTTGAGTGTGTTTATCTTGTCCTTCCTTGAGTGTGTTTATCTTGTCCTTCCTTGAGTGTGTTTATCTTGTCCTTCCTTGTGTGTGTTTATGTTGTCATTCCTTGAGTGTGTTTATCTTGTCATTCCTTGAGTGTGTTTATCTTGTCCTTCCTTGAGTGTGTTTATCTTGTCCTTCCTTGAGTGTAGGTCAACCATATCCTCTGGTCACTTCTGACTGCATGATTGTCTCCGGACCGTAATATTCTTAAGAGTTTTTGCTGCTCTGTTTGTGTGCCCCCAAAGTAGAAATCAAGATGCCAGAATAAGCAGTACTTTTTCCTATCTTAAACACATAACAAATTATGGCAGAAGGGAAACAGAGATCAAAACAATAGGGATGGTCAAAAAATATTCTCAACCTAAAAAAAATTAACATATTTTTTTTTTTAAATGAAGATGTTAATACACTAAAAATGAGAATTTTCAGTTTCGTAAACACTGCTGCATGAAGCACATGAAGAGGACGAGACAAAAAACAAGCAATTAGACCTATGAAATGAGGGCTCTCCGAACTTCTACCCAGGCATTATGGCGGCCTAACAAATATCCTAACAGGGCCTCAGTCCTATGAAAAATGCGGACTTCTCGGACTTCCTGCCGAGCGGCAAAACTAGGATCGGCACCTTATAACGAAACAAATGCTCTAACAGGATCTCAGCGATATGTTAATTGCTCGGAACCTGTTCTGTGACTATGCCCTCACCGCTTGAATCCTTACGCTACGCCGTGGGGGGGAGAAGGCTAAACTAGTGCTGGGGTCAGGCAGAGTAAACCCCATCTCCTCAAATTCCCCCAATTTTTTCGCTAGTAGTCCCAGGGTCTGTTTGGGCCCCATCTCGCCGCGTGGGGGATACTGTCACGGTGAGTTAAAAAAGCTTTTGCGCATGCCAAAAAATTTTAGGACAAATTTAAAGAGCTAAACTGCAACGGAGCGCGTGGTGTCCCGATATCGCTTTTAAAGTTGCTTTTCTGAAAATTTTCAAAGGGCGTAGTACGTCTTAGAAACGCTTAAAAGTCACATCGCAATCTCGTCTGCAGGTTGTGTCTTTGAAATTGAGGTAAACCAGTTTTGCTAGATTTTTCATCGCCGGAAGTCACAATTTTTT